GTGCATTTATTTGATGGAAAAGCATACAGGATGGAAAATAAGCAAATTATAGAAACATTTTTTTTTTTAACAGCATAGATGAATCTTAGAAATATAATGTAAAATAGGAAAAAGAAGTCACACAAAACTTATGACAATAAAACCATAAAATTCAAACCAAGAAAAGCTAAATAATAAATAACTGAGGAATACCTACCTATAAGGTAAAAATTTATTCAAAAAGTAAAGAAATAATAATAATAAAAAAACTCTCTTGAGGATAGGGTTACTACTGTATGAAAAGCAGGGGTGAGATTAGGAAAGAACCCATAAAAAGCTTCAAAAATCTTGAGTAATATACTAGTTCTTAATTGATAAATTAGTAGATATTCATATTGCAATTATGCTCCATAATTTCTATATTATCTATCTCTATAAATGTATGTGAGCTATATACCATATGTTTCTAAATTTTTAAAAATTATTTTCAAATTTTAAAATGAGAAAAAATGTTTTTAATACAATAAATTGCTTTTTAACAAAGGCCAAGATATTCAATAGGGAAAGGACAGTCTTATTTAACAAATGGTGCTGGAAGAACAAGATATACATAAGGAAAAAAATTAACCTCAACTCCTACTTTATATCTACAAAAATTTGAGATGGATTATAGACACAAATTTAAAAGCTAAAACTATAAGTCTTCTACAAGAAAACATAAAAGAATACCTTTGCAAACTTAGGCTAGGCAAAAAATTCTTAGGCATAATAAAAAAAGCACGAATCATAAAAGATTAACTTGATAAAGTGGACATCATCAAAATTAAAAACATCTACTCATCAATAGGCACCCTTGAGAAAATGAAGGTCCAAGCCAAAAATAAAGAAAATATTATATACATGACATTTTAATCAAATATATTCATATGCATGTGTATATATGATAATAGATTTGAATCAAGAATATATACAGAATGCATACAACTTAATAAAAACAAGTCAATAAAAAATAGGCAAAAGTCTGAAACATATACTTTAACAAAGGAGAGCATACATGTAGACAATAAGCACAGGAAGAAGTTCTAAAGAGCATTAATCAGGGAAATGCAAATTAAAAGCACAACATACCATTTCATACCTCCCAGAATGGCTAAAATTTGAAAGTCTGGCAATACAAGTGTTGAGGAAATGTAGAACTGGAGCTGATATACTGCTGCTGCTGAGTGTAAAATGGCACAAGAACTTTGGAAAATTGTTCTAAAGTTAAAAATATCCCAAGTTTATGACTCTGAAATCTGACTCCTACTAAGGAGAAAAATGAAAATATTTGTCCATAAAAATACTTGTATAACAATGTTCATAGTGGTTTTACTTATAACAGCTCAAAATTGGGAGCAATGCAAGTGTCACACAAGTGAAGAAATAAACAAGTTGTGGCATATCCATCCAATGGAATTATATTCAATGACAAAAAAAGAACAAGCCAAAATATGGATGTATCTCAGAAACATTATGTTGATGAAAGAAGGAGACACAGAAGAGTTTATAATCTATGACTCCATTTAAATGTAGTTCCAAAACTTCTAAACTATAGTGATAAATATAAGAACATAATGCCCTGAGCCAGAAGGATGTGATTGGACAGGGAAACATAGGAACCTTTGAAGTAGTGCAAATGTTCTACATTTTGATTGGGGTGGTGCTTGTCACATGGATGTTTATGTCTATAAAAATGCATTAAACTAGTTATTTAAAATTAGTAAATTTTAATACATATAAATTTCATCTGATAAAAAATGAAATATAAAACAAATAAAATTAAGAGTATATGAGAAAGGAATTATTATAAAATGAGTGCTTGATGTGATTACCAAATTAGATAGAAGTGTTGGAAAATAAAATTGAGACAATTGTTTAGAACACAGAGCAAAAAAGGCAAATATATAAAAGCATACATGAAGGCAATAGACACAGTGAATCAGTCAAGAATCACCTTAATGAGTTTCAAAAAAAGAGAAGAGAGAAAAACTAAAGAGAATATATTAGGGAAACATATACCTTCAAATTAAAAAATCTTATAATTTCAAGGAGGATAAATGAAAAAATACTCATACTGAGACATTTATTCTAGTGCCTTTGAATGAGTTCATTGCCAGGAGAATAAACTCACACCAAGACATATCATAATAAATTTTCAATGGATCGCATGTAACCAAAAACTTTAATAATTTCTGAGAGCAAACAAATAGTTCTGGCACCAACACATTAAGATCAGACTGGCATTCTCATCTTCTCATGAGCAACACTGGAGGTTAGAAGATGGTGACGTCTTGGAAGATTTGGTTTCTATACCCAGTGAAACTATCAACCATAACAGCAACATGATAATGTACAGCTGTGCAAACACTAACAAATAAAATTACCACCCACATACCTTTTATAAATAAGTTTCTTTAGCATGTATTCTACCAAAACAGAGGAGAAAACCAAATAATAGATGTTGAGTTAAAAAACACTGCATCTTGCCTGGCAGGCGTGGCTCAGTGGCTGAGCTTGGACCTGTGATCCAGGAGATCGAAGCTCGTTTCCGTGTCAGGGCATTTGCTCAGGTTGCAGGCTCAATCCCCAGTGGGGGGGCGTGCAGAGGCAGCCCATCAATGACTCTCTCATAACATGTTTCTCTCTCTCTCTTTCCCCCCTCCCTTCCTTTCTCTGAAATCAATAAAGATATTAAAAATAAAACAAAACAAAAACACACAAAAAACTGCAACTTACCCAAGTGTTCAATGAATGTAACCCAGGATAGAAGCTGTACAAAAAAACTGTAATAGGATCTAGTCAAATTAAACAGAAAGTGATTTGGATCCAAAGGGGACATCTTTTAACAGAGAAATGAAATGGAAGCTTCTCACACAAAGAATGAGAAGAGTGGTGAAGAAAGGACAAGATGGGAGGACCAGGTGAAGATAGCGTATGCTCCTCTTCCTCAAAAGAAATCAGAAAGTCCCTTGTGAAAGTGAGGAGGGGTTAAAAACCATATAAGTAGTACACAGTCCAAAAAATAAAGCTTACTGAACTATGGAATAATTTTTTGTGACTGTAGAGGAAGAAAAAAAGAATCATTTTGATGTTAATATTATAATTCTGTAAGTATAGGTCCAGCTAAGGGAAGGTAGGAGTGGATTTGTTTTCTGAAGTGGTAAAGAAAATGCTAGTCATTACTTTCCTCGTTTTACTAAATAAGGAACCAAAATATATTTTTGAAAATTGATGTGAAAAAAATTGAGCTTACATTTATTTAGAATTACAAAACAACCAATATGAAAATTAAGCACTGTGATAACTATTCACAAATTTGCAGAGGAAACTTTGGAATGATATGGTATATCTTAAGAAGTGAATTTTTAAAAGAATTAGTAGTTTAACTAAGTATTCAACACACAGACCTAAAATTAGGTAAGGTTAAAAGTGGTTATCTCTGAAGAATAGGACTGAGGGGAGAAAGGGAGACACTAAACTGTTGTATTTTATTATGCAATCCTTCTATAATACTTGATTACAATTAGATGCCTCTATCACTTAGATACCTAAAAATCAAATAACCAAATGAAGAAAATTCAAATGATTCTGAAAGATACATTTGTTAGCATAAAACATTTCATCAGTGTTCTGCTTTAAATACCTCATAGATGGGTGCACACAAAAAAAGGCTCATGCATAAAAAATACACACACATAGATTTACTCACTTGGCAAGTGGAAAAAACTAGTAGGGGGAAAAAACAGCTGAGGTGAGAGGTTAGGTGAGAAATAACAACAGTGAGCAATTAGGTTTGAAAATCCATTCACAGTATCTTAAGGATCTTATTTTAAGACAGGTGTTTTTCCAGTTGCCAGGCTAATGATTGGAAACAAGCCACAATCTGTGTCCTCAAAGAACTTGGAGTTGAAATGACTCAAATTGGGGGGAAAGGTTTAAAATGGGCAAAAGATGGTTTTATCATGAATAAAACAGTTTACACATTTCTTCTAGGGCGAATAAAACTAGTTCATTTATTTTACATACTTCCCCTCAAGAAGCTGCTTTTCTGTCCCAAACAAAAACAGGGACAATGGGGCCTTGAAAAACCAACCAGTGACAATTCTAAATTAACTTCCACTTGTTCACTTTCCTCCACTCCACAAGGAAATGACATCTGGATAAATGATTAAACTTTTGCAAACCAGAAACAAAGCAAAGCAATCGTTCCCAACCTCCTTTTTAAATCTTGCTTTGACTAGTGGTTACTTTCAGAGGACTCGGATAAAGGCGTGCAGGAGGAAGGCGGGCTGCAGCTCGGAATGGGCACCGCGCTGAGCAGCCAGCAGCTTTCCAGGTGGGCTCGACCTATCACTGCCGATAGGCGGGGCCACTCGCTGCACCTGCCATTCCTCTACAGCCCCACCCACTACGACGAACACGAGTGGGAAACCCAAATACCTGCCTCAAAGTCTGGGGACGCAGGCGGACACAAAGGTAAGGGGAAGGAGCTTCTACACAGGGCCCCAGGGCTGTCGCTGGGGCTGGTGTCGCCGCTACTGCTTAGTGCACCCGGCCCTGCATTTCAGGCGCTGCTACGAAAGAGGCAGCTCCAGGAGCGCCCCGAGCTCAGACAACCCTTGGCCTGCGAGCAGTCGGCGGGGGTCCCCAGCTCGGGCCCCGGCGGGGAGCGCGAGCCGGTCGCTCCACGCTGACAGCTCCCAGCTCTCCCCGCAGCCTCCACTCAGCCCGGCTGTTTCCTCTGACCTCACAGCCTCCGCGCCTCGACGTTAACGAAAGACCCCGACGTCCGGCATCTTGCCCCTTGCCCAACGTGGCGACAAAATGTCTCGATCAAGGAAGAGGCACGGGAAGGTGGCGTTACTGCAGTGGACTACTGGAAGCGTGGCGTGGCTGCGCGCGGGAAGGGGACCACAGATTTGAAGGCGAATCGGTGGAACGCTCAGGCGTTTAGTCTGGACACCTCGATGGGTCCTTCGTCACTGCCGTCGAGTGAGGGAGGCAGTTCCTACCTGCTCCCGGCTGAGGCTGCCCCGGCGCTCTCTCCGCCGATTCATGTGAGTGACGTCTTCCGAGGGTCCCGGCGTTGGCAGATTGGGGCGGTAGGAGTCCCCCTTTCCTTACTTGGCCTGCGGGTGCTAGCGGGAAGTCCGCTCACACTGGCACCCGCCTGGGCATGGGAAAGCCGGGAAGAGCTTGGGACATTTTGAAGGAGCCAAGTTTGAGAAAGGCGATGCGGGGCCCAGGGAAACGATGCTTCTGCATATTCACAAAGATGTTCATTTTAGGGCGCGCGCGTGTGTGTCAAAGGACTGAGCAGTGGTGGTCGTGGGGTGGGGGCAGACAGGAATTCATTCGGTTATTAAGCTCCCGAAGTATGTTCCCGGCGCTGTTCCAGGCATTGAGAAAAGAGCAATGGACAAAACAGACCAAAATTCATGCCTCCCTGTAGTTAACATTTTATTGAGGACAAATGCTAAACAAAATTACGAAAAAAACACCATGTTTTAAGTTGTAATGGTTGCTGAAGAGCAAAATAAAGCAGGGAAGGAAGATACCGATTGAAATTTTAGTGTGGCCAGGGAAGGTCTCACTAAAAAGGTGACTATCCATTAGAGAGCTCACAGAAGTGAGAGAATTAACCATACAGAAATCTTGGTGAAGTGCAGTCAGGCAGAGCGACCATCCTTTGCAGAAGCTGTGAAGCAGAAACTCGCCTGCACAGCAAGAATCTTGTGGATCAGAGTTGAGTCAAGTCGTTAAAGCTGGAGACAAAAATCGGAGAAAGTAGGAACAGGTCATGAAGGATCTAGAGGGCATCTAAGCCACTGCAAGGCTTGGAGCAATGGAGTGCTAGAATCTTTTTTTTTTTTTGAAAGACAAGGCTAATATTTGAGCTCAACATTTTCAAGCTGATAATCCCATTTGTCACTAACAGTTCCGTACAGGTTGTCCCATCTGGACCACCTCCACCATCCCTAATGGCATAATAAAATTTAAAAGATCTTGTTTCTAGATTTTAAGAAATTGAAGCTTAAGTATCTCTCTGGCTGCTATCAGACTGAAGGAGACAGGATAGGAGAAAGATCGTTGGGAGGCTTTTGCATTAGTCCAGAGGAGACATGATAGTGGCTTGACTCGGGCTGGTAAGAAATAGACAATCATAGTCTTAGTGTTTTTAATTTTGATATCCAAGAGTATTTATGAATGGTGAATTAATTTTTTTAATTAGGTTTGGGAAAGACTTTAGAAATGAATTGTAGTGTGAGTTTTGGAGTGACAAATACAAGTTAAAATCATGGCTTTGCCATTTAATATTTGAATGAATTTAGACAAATCAGAATTTCTCTAAGTTTATCTGTTAAATGGAAATATCTCACCACATTATAAAGGTTAAATGACGATGTGTGCACTGTGCCCGTCTCATTAAAGTAGTCGCTATTAACAAGCTCTTGAGAGGCTGCTCAGGGGGTCTAAACTGCCTGACCAGCTATATGCTGGGGGAGGATAGGTTACCCTGGGGCCAAGGTTCTTGTTTTCCCAGTTTTGCCTCTTGCTAGGCATCTGGGGCATCCTGTCCTGGTGAGTTTCTGTCCCTAGTTTCAGTACCTGCCCCACCTAACACAAACCATTTACTCTCAAGTGTCATTAGTTTAGGGAAGATAGGATTTACTAGGAGGCTTCAAACTGCTGTTTAACAAACTGTCTCAGTTTCCCTATTCTGCTTGTCCTGGAGTTTTTCTAGCTTTTACTCTGCTATAACAATTACTGTGCATGTGATTAAGTATATGTATTTTAATTTCATAGTCTTTTTCTTTTATTTTAGCATAGACTAAGCCAGCATTCCCAAACAGTTTTAGAGAATACTAGTTCCAATAAATATTATTAATGGGTGTTCTTTGGTTAGGATTCTGTGGATAAATGCATTGAGAAATACTTCACAGTTATATTCTTTTTTTTTTTTAAAATATATCTTTATTGCTTTCAGAGAGAGGAAAGGAGGAGGAGAGAGAGAGAAACATCAATGATGAGAGGGTCATTGGTCGAGCCCACAACCCGGGCATGTGCCCTGACCGGGAATCGAACCCCGATCGCCTGGATCCTAGGTCGACTCTCAGCCGCTGAGCCACTCCCGGCCGGGCCACAGTTATATTCTTTAGAGAAATTATAACTTGGGCATTAAAAAAGGTAATTCAAGAATCAGACACACCCAAGTTTCAGTTCTCATTTACTAAATAGCCACATGACCTGGGGCAAATTAATTTTAATTCAAGTTTTCTTCTCTGTATAATGGAGATAATTACAGTATTTATAGGTGATCCATGTAAAACATTTAGCCAGCTCATAATAAATACTTTACAAATGTTACCTGTTATTATTAACATTATCATCTGTTAATATTATTATTAACATTATTATAATATGCTAGTATGCATATTAAAAGCTGTGAGGAGACTAAGGAAACAGAGTTTTGAAATTCAGTGAGTATGCAGTGTAAAATTTGAAATTTTTCATGCATCAGTTAGCACAAAATAGTGAAATAAGCACTGGGTTGAAGATAAAAGATTTGTCTGAGCTTAATCAATGTTGTTAAACTAGTGTGGTTGCCCTGAACATAACTTCATTTAAAGAAAATTCTACATTAAAAAAAAAATTCCCCAGTTTACTGTGTTTCCTCCAGTTGTCTGAAAGCTTAGTGGGTGCAAAGAACATGTTAAATTTTCTGTCTATAAACTCAGCACATGGCTCAAAGTCAGGGACTATAAGCAAAATTGAGGTCATGAACTTTATTTATGGGGACCTGGCAGGTAACATAAATGAAATACAACAGGGAATGGCGAAATCTGTTTGTCTTGCTTAAAGGCATTTGCATTCACTTACAAGCACTGTTAACCCTGGAAAACAAAGGTATCCCTGACCTGTGTGGTGATAGTTGTAATCCCAACGGGTGAGAGATCAGGAACAAACCCTAAAGAACATCTACATAAAGTACATGTCAAGAATGAGGATCCCTAAAAGATGCCAAGGAAGTAGAAATCAGGTGATAAGTATCTTCATTTTATAAATTAAGAAGATTAAGCAACTTTACTAAGATAACACAGCCTGTTAAGTATGTGGTTCAACCAAGATTTGTTGGCTGTGAATACTTTTTAAAAAAGCTATACTCTTCTGCCAGTGCTAGTGATTATTATCTGTATATTACTAGAAAACATTGGCATAATCTTACACATTCTACTTATATTTTTGAAAAATCTAAATGACAGTTATTCAACGAGTACTAGAAAACTTTTCAGAGCTTCTAATTCTAAAAACAATAATAGCTCTTAGCATTTGACAAAAGTTATGTCAACACATAGACCTGACTAGAAACTAATCCAAAATATCTCACTAGAATTTTTTTAAAATATTGGATCATAAATAATATTGTCAAGATAACTAGTTAGGAGTAGAGAAAAAGTAGACACTGGTTAGCAGCTAGTGTGCTTTATAGTCATTACTAAGTTTTATTTTGCCACAAAAACTTGATTATTGCCAGAAAAATGACTGTCCTAAGAAAAGATATTTACTCTAATGATTATTCTTTTGTAGTAGTATTGTTGATATTGTGGCAGTTAAAAGTAGCCTAATATGTCACTATGATATATAGCATAATGATTTATGGAAACTTGGAAAATTATTAATTATTGCATAACCAAATGAGGACTTTTTTCATTAGTAATCAGAATGCAGAGCATTCTCAAATTTCAAATTCACATGCTCTTAACTTTATGGTTTGATGATTTTTTTTTTAATGTACTTTATTTTTTAGAGCAGTTTTAGGTTCATAGCAAAATTGAATAGAAAGCATTCGGTGATTTTTTTTTTTCCTTTTCTTTCTCTTAAGCCAAAACAATATACATCATTCTTATAAAACAAATTTTTTCTTAGTATTCTTGGCCAGTTGTGTGCTTTTGGCAAATTGATATGTGTGGGTTTATCCTGGATTGCTTTGCCTTCAGAGCTAGAGCTGAGAACTGTTATATAACAGTTCTTAGAGATGACCTGCATACGGCATTCAAACTGAAATCTGTTATATCCCTTTGGGTGTTCTTTCTTTGTATAACATTTGTTTAAATAAACTCAAGTCTGTTATCTTCAGTTTCTACAGTTATGATGACAGTATTTGTTTGTAGGGAAAAGTTGCAGAGATTTTCAATTGACTGTTGTCTTATTGTATTCTCCTGGACAGGAGTCCTTAGATATAGTTTGCATATTATTATTATAAACACAAAATTTAGAATTAATGTAAATATATTAATGTTTATCATCTCCGTGGACTATCCCAAAGAAATTTACTTGTGGAGTAGCCAAGTTAAGTACATTTTCAGTGTCAGTCTCTATAATTTATATTTTATTACTTTTTATGTTCTTAACCTGTAAAAAAACAAAAAAATCATACCTAGTGATCTAGAAATTATCATAACAGATAATCTACTATATACCTCACTTGAGCTTGAAGGTGGTGAGGATTATGTAAGTATCCTATCTTCTTTGTGTTCCCCAAATTTTGCTTAGTGCCTGACAGATACTAGCTATGTGGCAAAAGTGTTAAGTATTACTCATGGTATCTCATTTAGTGCCACTCTGAGATATATAAAATCATCTCCATTTTACAAATGAGAAAATTGGCTCAGATAGATTAAGGAAGTTGTTGAAGTTTACACAGCTGTTAAGTCACAGAGGGGCAAAGGGTTTCATCCAAGGTCTGTGTGATTTCCAAGTCCATGTTCTTTTTATTAAATTTTATATTATTTCTCTTGTAATAAGTTCTTAAGATTCAAAATAAAGAGAAGTGATAATAGTATGTATCTCATGGTGTTGTGATGATGAAATAAGTTAATACCATAAAATGCTTAGAAAAGGAGCTGGCAGATACTAAAGACAAAGTAATCACTAGGTGTTATTATTACCTAATAATACCTATCAGGGAACTTGAAATGGCTTCTAATATTATCCATAATTATTTTATATATGGATATTGAATAGCATCACTCATCCCTCTCTAGTCTCAATATTTTAAAACTTTACGGCCTAAATATGTGTTTTCCACTAACATTTCTGTTACGAAAATGTTACCTATTTTTTTCTCTATTTCTCATGTTTTATCTAATTATATGGTTAAAAATAAATTCATTTTTACTGAATATTTTAGGTGATATACATTTCTCAGTGCTGGTTTTATTCACCAGTTTGCAATTTAAACTAGACCTTAATCTACGTAAGTATTTGTAAACTTATAGCCACATATATAAATTATACTTATTTTGTAATATATTTACATGTATAATAATTAAATATATAAAATATACGTATACATAGCATATTAGTGTCCTTCAGTATTTAAAGTTAAAGCATAAGAATTATCTAAAAGTTGGATGATGTTTTATATGCCTTTTTGTCTTTGTGTGAGAGACAGAGACAGTAAATACATTTGACTCAGTCTTCATTAACCTGTTATTTCCTTTTATATGTGGGTGAGATATGTTTCTTATTCAACATTTTATTGAAAAAAATTTTCATATAGTGTCTTTATAAAGATGTTCAAACTAAATTTATTAGCTGGTTGTTTGTTAAACCATCTCTTGCCAAACCGGAATTATTACCTAGTCTTAACTAGCTGTAATCCTTTTTGTGTATTCAGTTTATGATAAAAATATTTTGGTTTCACAAAAAATGAGATGGCAAGTCTTTTCATTTTATATTCCCTAATCTTTTAACACCTTTAGATAACTGTGATTTTGAGGATTTTTCTGATTTTCTCTCATATTTTTTGTCAGTGTCATTTAGTTTTCTCACTTTCCTTTATTACATCGTTTCCTCTTAGTTGATGTGTATGTGTTTAATATAGTCAGCTCATTCTTGTTTCTGTGTTTGGAAACATGGTATTATTTCTTCCTAAACTATGCCAGTGCTTCAGTGTGTATTATAAAAGTCGTATTTCATTTAACTCACTTTTATAATTATTTTTCAGGTAGTTGATAGATTTATCAACTCAGTAAAATTATATCTTTTCTTCTTTTAGTCTAGGATTTATGATCTCTATTTTGCAGATTATTGTCTTAGTTTTGAAACAGTTTTTGTGAGTCGGCATGAGTTTTATGTTATGCTTTATCAACAGTTTGGCAGTATTTGTGAGATGACTTTCTGGAATGGTTCGTGAATTCATGTAAACTATTTTACATTTAAATCTATTTGTTTATGATCAGTTTAGATACTAGTTTACTATGTTTTTTCCTAAAGTGTGTCATTAATTTCATATTTATCTTAGTATTACTCATCAAATTTTTCTTTGCCAGGGAAATAAAGTTACAAATTATTCCAAATAAAATAGTCATCAGTTTACTTGTTTGTGATAGCTATATTTCACCTATTGAATGTATTTGATGGTTACTTATCTTACACAAAACTAGAAAGACCTTAAACTAAAAGAATGCTGTAGTGTTATAGCTTGGATACTAAGTTCACAAGAATGTAGCTTTTTTACTTTTACTTTTTTCATACGTATATTAATATTTTTGTCTAAAATTCTGCCTTTGCAAACATTTAAGGAACAACAATAGGGTATGCTGTGTTCATTTTGTTAATATTTGGAAGAATTTAAAGGTGCTATCTTTATTTTCAATTTTGAACCTTTTTTTTTTTTGCTCTGTATTTTTTTAAATTGTTAAGTAATGTCCGTGTAGAAAATGATCCGTTTACTATGTTTTTTCCAGATTAACCCTCATTTATATTGTCTTCATTTATTAGCGACTTTATTTTTATAGGTCTTTTTACTGCTTCTATATCATTAATTTTCAACTTTAGCATACAGTTTTTTGAGGATTGGTTTTCCTTTTATAAAAAAAAGATAAACATTTCAGAAAGTTCTTTATATTGGATGGATACTGCATAATTTGAAAATTTAAAATACTCTTGTATTATTTGTTCATTATTAGTGATTTTTAAATAAAAATTTTATTATGTATTGAGTGTGCATCATTTATTTAAAATGAGAATTACTTCAACAATGCTTGTGTCATTGTTATACTTCATATTATAAATTATAAATTGAATTATAAGTTGTTATGCTTTGAATTATATAATCAAGTAAAACAGTTTACTTTTGTAAATTGGGACTTTTCGTGATTAACCCTGTTTTAATGTGAACTATTCGGCAGTTTAAAGTAGCATGATAATTAATATCAGAATTTTTGCTTATATGCACTTTTCTGTACATGACAGTATGTTTTCTAATTTCTATGAAGAATTATAAAATTAAAATTCTAATAATTTTCTTTTACAAGGACACAGAATATATGTTGATATTACTTCTGAGTAGGCATATGGTTAATATTGTTTTCCTAATTGTTGATATTTTTCTTTTAATATTTGTCTTTCCTAATCACATTTCTTCTTCAAATTGTACATAATTAAATAAACAGTAGAAAAGAAATATACAATATGCAAAAATAACATATAAGAAGGAATTTAGCAATTCTTTGGAATACAGGTGTGTTACTCAGTTACAGTTTAGTTAAGGTTATTGCTATTCTTTTCCCTGTTTCTGTCTTGTGTGATATTGTTCTGCAGTATTTTAAAGCTTTCTTTAAAACCTTATAACCTTAAAATTCTGCCTTTGGTTTGGTTTGTAGGAAAAGTGTTTTTCTAACATATTGATCTGATACAATAGAAAATATTTTTATTTTTAGACTACTTGTTTACAGTGTCCTGTAAAATAAATGTATTTCTTCTACAGTATAAGTTATCACTTGTATTTTTTCACTTAGGATTTTCTTCCGTTTCTTGGCAAAAATGGCAACCAATGATGCTGTTCTGAAGAGACTGGAACAGAAAGGTGCAGAGGCAGATCAAATTATTGAATATCTGAAACAGCAAGTTGCTCTTCTTAAGGAAAAAGCAAGTAAGAAAAATTTAAATTTTCTAAGGAGATACTTCAAATGAATTCATATATTGACAGGCCAAAAAAAAAGTGTTTACGACATAAATTATTTATCTCGATCATAACTTTTATATTCCTTTAATATTTTAATTTGGAGTGAAATGATAGTCTAGAATTAAGATGAATTAGACTTGGCATATAGTGAATATATGATATGTAGAGAAAACAATGTATTATTTCCAGAATGCTGAGGGAAAATTAATGTTTAAAATTATTTGGTATAGAATTAGAGATTAAAAATAAAAGAAATTGGGTGAAATCAAATATGTACTGAAATATCTCTTCTAACCTTGTATAGGAGAGATGTATACTTTTTAAAATTTTTTAATTGATTTTAGAGAGAGGAAGGGGGAGAGAGAGAGAGAAACGCTGATTTGTTGTTCTACTTGTTTATGCATTCATTGGTTGTTTCTTGTATGTGCCCTGACTGGGAATCGAACCTGCAACCTTCGTGTATGGGAATGACACTAACCAACTGACCTACACAGCCAGGGCCAAAAATATATACTTATATATTACTCCCTACTAAGGCATTTTCTGAAATGATTTTTAATTTTTTTTACAATACTTCTTTAAATTTTACCTAGAAATTACTATGATATGTATAAAAATATCAAATCTAAATTTTTGCTTTTAGGATTTTGGTTGATTTTTGTTTTGTTTGTTTAAGTATATTTTTCAATAGACAATGTTAATTTTGTAATGAAAATTCCAAAATCTTTATCTAGTATATGTCAGAGCATCTGGCATTCCTGGCCCTTGCCTAGTAAATGCCAGTAAATGACTCCATTATTTGTGAAAACTATTCCCTCAGATTTTCAAAATCCCACCATCAGAGTACTTCCAACCCCACTGAGAATCATTGTTTTTCTTTTATATTTTTGCATACCCAGTTGCTCACCTTTAACACACATATCTTGAGCACATCTTTGAAGTTATTTCATTCATTAAATGTTTATCCAGCTCACCTTCTGAGCATAAAGGATTATTCAGCTACTTTTACAAGGTAATGACTAAAAAAATGAGAATAATTTTTGAAGTTTGGTTATTAGGTCTCAAGTTTTTAAAAAAAAATAATTTGTTAATATCTAATACTTATCTCTCTTCCTTATAGTTTTATCTGTTATTCACATTTTAAGCCAGATTCTTAAGTTGTCATAGGCATCTTTACAGAAGCTAGGAAAGTGATTCATAAACAAAGCCTTTTCTTTCTATATTTTCATAGATTGTCTCCCTTTTCTCTCTTTTAATTATGTTGTTTTAATAATACTAAACTCTGATGCAAAGAAACTGACCAAGAAAACATTTGGTTATAAGTATTATCCTACCTATGTTTTTACTGGCTATGCTCTCTTTTCAAGTAGTATTCATAAGAAACCTTTTAGAAAACACCGCTATACTGAACTGGATTTTCTTGATCTTAGTTTTGCAGACAACTTTGAGAGAAGAGAAGAAACTTCGAGTGGAAAATGCTAAACTGAAGAAAGAAATTGAAGAATTGAAGCAAGAGCTAATTCAGGCAGAAATTAAAAATGGAGGTGATTAATATAGAAATGACATTTTTATTTATAATAATAATTATTTCTTTTATTGTTTATTAATTTAGATATTGTGCTTGGTTTTTTATCTTACCCTCATAGCATCCCTTCTTGTGTATTTGTTCTCCTCTACAGAAGGAAAAATGGTCATACAGAAAAGGCACATGATCTTGCCTGAGATTATGCAAAACATAGCAAAGCTGGGGTTCAAAACCTATGCTTTTAATTTCTGTACTGTGCTTCAACTTGCTCATCACTTTCCCTATTGAATAATTATTGAAAATAAGCCATAATAATACTCAGTTAACATTTATTAAGTTTTACTACCTTATTGGCACTGTGTTGCCAAGTGTTGCACATATATTATGTATTTTATCCCTAAAATAATGTGTACACATATACCCTTGTTTTTACATGAGGAAATTGGAGCTTAGAAATATAAAGTAATTTATATGAAATTATACAGTTTTTTAATTGTCAAAGATCAGTAGATAATTATTTCAACTAGTATGTTATAAATAAAATAAATTTTATTAAGTTATTTTAAAGGAGTCTAGATAAATTTACATTATTATAAAACACTAATAATGATAGTTCTGTTACAATTTCAAAGTATCATGGAGAAAGCCATTTGACTGTGTTGTAAAAATTCCTTCCTAGGTGAGTTAAGGAGGTCCAAGGTGCAAGTATACTTACTACTTTCTTTTGACCGTTATTCTGTCAGTGAATTATTTTGAATTCTGTGATATGACCTCTACCCTTAGTAAGCTAAATAAAAGTAAGGAAAAACTAATAACGTATGCTTAAAACTATCAACTGGAGAGAAGACTGTTTATCAATGGCAAATTTGAGGCTAGTTGATGTTTTCCAAGAATAGGAGATTTGGAATACAGGTTAACAGTTAAAATATAATCGATATAAAACTGCTTTATATTTCTTCCAGTTCTAGAAGATTGCCCTGAAACATTAAATTTTTCAATTCTGATCTTACTGAGATTCTAAAACAAATCAACAGTTTAAATCAAAGTATTAAATTCTAATGCTAAAACACAAAATAGGGATAAATGGAGCTTTACATTACTAAAAGAAGCAACAGCTTCCAGGGAAATTAAAGAAAATACCTCAGAAAAGTGGTCTGAGTATTGCCAGAAACTAAGCCACATCAAAATCCCTCAAAAGATTACATTTTTCCATGTTCACTAGGCTATGAGAAAGTTTTTAATATTGCTGAAGAAACTTTCTTTGCTTCTTTAAAAAAGATTTTTGAAATATAATTATGAACAACAAATGCGTTCTTTCTATTCTGACATGGAAATGACTATTATTAATACACCTTCCCTGTTGATTGTTCAATATAAAGGACCATGTGCATGATAAACATGCTATCTTGCCAAACCATGGGAGTATAGTCCCTGGAGACACTTCCTGAGTATAAATTCTATTTCCCTACTCAGTGTGTATGATGGGCCAATTTTTTAACTTCTGTATGACTCAGGATGATTATCTGTTAATGGGGGTATGAATCCAAATTGCTGCTTAAGGTATTTATGACAGTTACATGAATTGATTCATATAAAGTATTTTGAAAATTGTCTGGGACATAGTAAATCCATAATAAATATTAGCTATTATTGTTATCTGTAATTTTCTCAGTTTAGTCAGTGATTAAAGGAGAAACATGGGTCTATTCGTTTATCATATTTAAAATTTAGTTAATTTTTTGGCAGCCTTTTTACAGTCTTGGACAATAGAGACTTGATAATCATATACAGTGAATTTCTCTTTTAAAAAGAGTTCATATTTGTGATTCACAGTTGCATGGTTTTCATCTTTTTTATTGGTTTAATATAAATGACATTACCTATTTCATTTTCTGTATTAGTGAAACAAATACCATTTCCGTCTGGTACTCCACTGCAAGCTAATTCCGCGGATTCTGAAAGTGTAATACAGTTTATACCAGTCACACCCATATCTTCTGGTGCCAAAGAACAGGTAAAAGGAGAAGGAGGAGAAGAAAAGAAGGTGAAAGAGAAACTTGAAAAGAAAGGTATTTTACTTTAAGGTTATTTGGCTCTGGACTGATTTATCAGATCTCAACATTTTGGATAATAATAATGATGTCAGAAAGAAAGTTCAAACTTTTATGAACTAGAATGAAGTTAGGAACAGTATGATATTGGAACATACAAGCTGGACCCTAAAGGATGTGTGAAGGTTGATCAGATCAACGGTAAGAGTGTGGCATTTGAGGTAGAGGGATCAGCATAACTGAAGACATAGAATGTAGAGATTAAATATAGAGGCCCATAGGTCATTTGGTGTGACTGAATTTTAGGGTATATTTGTGGGGATCATTTCAGAAAAGTCACAGGTGGGAAGTTAGCTTAGGGCCAGTTGTGAAGACAGGAAAAGGATGTTCCAGTCAAAGCAGAATGTCTGAACCAAGGCGCAGGGATGTTCAAATTTTAGGAACTCGTAAGAACTGAAGTAGAAAGTATATCACCATCCACTTAGCCAGCTAGATCAGAAATCTTACAGCCAACCTTAACCTGTACCACTCCCTCAATTTTCATATCTAATTGGCCACTGAGGCCTGTAATTCCTACCCCCAAAACATATCTGGAACCCAGCTCTGTGCTACCTTAGTTTAAGTTCTTATAATCACAATCTCTCATCTGAATTAATGTTAAAGCCTCATCTTTTCTAGTTATTTACCTTGCTGCTAAAGCTGTTTTTCTAATCATAAATCTGACTTTTTTTTTTCACCTGTCTACTTTCTGCCTTTCTAGAATTCATTTTCCCAGATTTATCTAAAAATGTGCTTTTATAATTTATTATACCTACCTCTCATATTACTTATACGTATTTAAAAATTTTTGGAAAATATAAAATAGCTTAGGTGAAGTCACCTAAGCTAATTTGGCATCTAACATTTATTAATTCCTTTTGGTAAACATAAGAAGTAGCCTCTATTAGTTAGAAGTAAATAGGGCCTGTACATCCTCTCTACATAACTTCATCAGTAGATGGTATGGTTATAATGAAAGCAAGTCAGAGTAATTCTTCCACTTCATAAAATTTATTAAGAAGTAAGCATAAAACAGTTATACAGCTTGTTCAAAGTTTGATGAAGTCCATACTCAAAGAAGATGTATGGTTATTGTTCACTGCAGGATCAGTTACTCTTCCAGTCTAATGAGACAACACAGTCCTTGTTTGTGGGAGGAGAGCGCATGCAAGACCAAATGGAGCTCTAGGTCTAGAAGACCTCTGTTCATTGGAACTTTATGTGATGATAGGAATGCTATATAGCTCTATTTTCCAACACAGTAGTAGTCAGTGGCCACATGTAGCTACCAAATGTTTGAAATGTATCTACTGTGACTAAAGGACTGAATTTTTAATTACTTTAATAATTGTAAATAGCCATATGTGGTTGGCAGCTACCATATTGAACAGTGCTGGAATAGAGGGCTGTTTCATAGGTGTTTGGTTGCTCCGGTTGCCATATTTCAAAATCTTGCTCAGGCAAGGGCTGTGGTACTCATACAGTCTTTCTATACTGCCACATACAAGCATCACTCATATGTCAATGAAAGATTTCTAAAATCCCCTATGATGACTGACAAAGCTCTTGGCATAGATTTTAATATTTATAATCACCTTTTGGAATGTGGATTTGAAAGGTATTTCAAATCCTAGGATATGAAGTTAAAAAATATATGTGGGTACAGATATACTGTTATACTGCAGTATTTCAGAGTAATTAGTTTGCCAGTCAAAGATTACTATTTAGGTTTTTGGTATATATTTTTTCTAGTAATATATTTCTATAACATTTGGGTTTTTAACCATTAAAAAAATCATTGCTAATATGTTACATGGAAAGTGGTATTTTTAATAATTGGCTAATAAGATTAAAAACTGTCCATTATTTTGAACTAGCCCTGTATCCTCTTTTGTAAACTATTTTTGTATAAATTGTGAATATCATTTACACAAAATCTTCTTTTCCTATTCTAGGCAGAATTTTTCTTCTCTGCTTCTATATTTCCTTGTGTATGTAATGCTTATCACATATTCATTAATACATTTGTCTTCCTTAAAGGAGATGTTCAGTGCTTCGATAGCATAGGCTACTCATTGTAATAGGTCTGGTGCCTTAGATCTCAGTAAATATTTGTTCAAAGATTAAACAAAGGTATAGTTGAAAGAAAATGCTTCCACGCCACAGTAGCTTCTCTCTACCCTGCAGATTGAAGGTAAATGTGTTTTAATTTTGTTTTACATTTTTTTCTGCCAGAGAAGCAGAAACTTAAGCAATATGAACACTACAGGTTCCATTTTGACTCAGTGGCTAAAGTAATCATATGCTAATAAGAGTTAAATTATCAGCATATAAAGAAAAGTAGGATTTAAAAAATATAATCAGGCCTGGCCAGTGTGGCTCAGCAGTTGAGCATTGACCTAGGATCTAGGAGATCTCCATTTAATTCCCGGTCAGGGCACATGCCTGGGATGCAAGCTCAATCCCTAGTCAGGGGCATGCAGGAGGCAGCCGATCAATGATGACTCATGATTGATGTTTCTGTCTCTCTCCCTTCATTTCTCTGAAATCAGTAAAGATATATTTAAAAAATAATAATAAAATATATATATCAGAATAAAATATTCTCTTTTCAAATAGTTGCTATGGATAAACATAAAGCTTTAATCTTTAGGGAGATATAAGAAGTGGAGAAATTCATAGTATACTTATCAGTGTGTTTAACTGATGTGAGAAACATTTTGTCAGGGAAATTATACATGATTGTAGTTCATTCCATCAGTTGGCTACATAATGTGGCATCCTTTATAAATATAGGATTTTTCACTTTATAAAGAGTCACAGTAAAAATTGTAAAGGATTTTCTATATCTCTGTTTCAGGGAAGCACACACTTTTTCTGTAAAGGGCCATTAGTTAATATTTAAGCTTTATAGGCCATATAGGCCATCAGGCTCTGTGACAACTATTCAACTCTTTAAAAGCAGCCATAGACAATATGTAAATGAACAAACATGGTTGTGTTCTAATAAAACTTTGACAGAAACAGTCAGCATGCTGAATTTGGCTCCTGAGCCATAGCTTGCCAACCTCTTGTCTATGTCTACAACTAGCAATAAAGGCAGTTATTCAACAGAGAAATGGCTAAAATACGGTTCAAGATGCAATCAGTTGAATAAGTAATTCTTTCCTTTGTTATTTAAGTGAAGGTAGGATATAAACACTTTTTTTCTTTTAACCTCATCAGTATCAATGCTATGGAGTGTTTCATAGTGTATTTTTGTTTTACTTCTGATGTTTACCCATTTATAAATATCTTTTTAGGAGAGAAAAAGGAAAAAAAACAACCAGTAGCAGGAAGTGCTGACTCTAAGCCAATAGATGTTTCCCGTCTGGATCTTCGAATTGGTTGTATCATCACTGCTAAAAAACATCCTGATGCAGATTCTCTGTATGTAGAAGAAGTAGATGTTGGAGAAGCAGTCCCAAGAACAGTTGTCAGTGGCCTTGTGAATCATGTTCCTCTTGATCAGGTAATTTGTAAAACAAAAAGTACTTCTGTATACACATGACACTTTCATTTCCTCTTTCTTTGATGTTTTCCCATATAATTTGTATTAGATGACCAAACAACATGAGCCAGTATTGATTAGTTCATTTGTTTAGTTTGAATGTGGTGAATTCTACCCAGAAAGTAGACAAAACTTCTAAAACCTTGCAAAAGATCTATACATTGGGATCAGATTCATAAGGATGAAAAGATGCGATATATTTTTCTCAATTAAAAAATGTTTTTAGTTTGGTATTTTATATAAAGTTCTTTATATGTGTGTGTGTGTGTATCATTATATTTCATGGAATTTTATTCCTTGATTTTTTTAAATCACTTATATAAACCTAGAAAACACCAATCTAAAAGTAAAAGAACAAGTCTTATTTCTTTATAACTTAAAGAAATAGTTTCATACTTTAAGAAAAAACAAGAGAGAAAATCATGGAGATTAATTGCAAATTTTAATGTTATTCCTTTAGTTGTTAAAAATTGGATGTTTTATATTTTGTTGTTACTTAGGTATTTAAAAGTATAAAAAATATGTATTTTTTACATATATATGTATATGGTATATGTATGGAGATACATATACATGTATCTTTCCAATGACAGTGGCATGAATTAAAGACAGTAATAGTTTGTAATTTGCCCTCTTAAGATATCTTTTATAGTAATTTGAGTCATCTGCCTATTTCCTCTGCCCCATAGTATATTTCAGAGATATTGCAAAGACCGTAGACTTCAATATTAAGATAATTTTGCCACTCTCTCCATTGCCAGCCCTGTTGCTTATTGGCTATGTGAATTTGGACAAATCTTTACATTTTTTTCATTCACATTTCTAGATGCACATATTTATTGAGATCCTGCAAGGTACCAGAAACTATTCTAGACAAGGGGTACAGCAGTTGAATTAAGGTGATAGATTTGTGGGGTTTTTTTAGTTTTTGTAAAGTCCTGCTTTTGTGAGGCTCACATTCCTATGGGGAAGTCAGAAAACCATAATATATTCTGTTAAATAGTGATAAATATCAAGAAAAAAATAAAGTAGGGAAGAATCTAGAAAGTATTGAGGCTAGAATGATGATGTCATTTTATATAAGGTAGTTCAGGAAGGCCTTCTAAAGAAGTCACATTTAAGTAAAAGATCTGAGAAAATGAAGAAAGCAAGTCATGTGTCTGTCTGGTGGAAGAGCATTTTATGTTGCTGAATCAAATGTATGCCTGAGATGTTCACAAAATAGCAGAAAGCAGTGTCACTATAGCAGAGTAAGTAAGGGGCAATACCATGTGAAATTGAAATCAGAGATAAGTTTGGCAAATAACAGGATCTTGTAGATCATTGTGAAGATTGGCTTTTTTCTGAGATGAAAACCACTGGAGTGTTTTTGAGCTAAGGGGTAACGTGTTCTGCCTCATATTAATAGAATCGCCTAGCTGCTCTGTTGAAGGGATGAGTGAAGAAGATTCTTTTATCTATGAAAAATGTATGGATTTGGCACATGTATGGGGTTTTTTTCCTTTATATTCATCTTCTGTATGGCAAGGACTCCTTCATAACTACTTAGGAAGGTATGTTCATAAGAAGTCTTGGAGAAAAGAACCAACTAATCTTAAGCCACTTAAATTGGAAAAACTCCTTATTGGGGCTTTATCTTTTTTGTTCTCACAAGTTGCAGACTGTTTCTATTCCAAAAGCTGTCATTAACAGCCACAGGCGAATCTCTTTATATACATCTGTCTGTAGCCCATTAAGGCAGTGCTAGTAAACATTTATAAAGCAGGGACACTTAATTCCCCCCAAATTACATAACAGAATTTTGTAGATTTGTGTATTTTTCAAAGGAAAGGTCCACAGATATCATCTAAACTAACCCTGTTGTTTTTCTTATATATAATTGCTATAACATTTTTTTAAGTTCTCATATATGTGACATTTTCAAATTATTTGTTGAAGAAGTCTTATTCATGAAGACCCCCCAAAAGGGGGCCTTTGGAATTTGAAATTTAGGCCTTTTTTTTTTTTTAATTAAAATATAGTTGACATACAATATTATATTGGTTTCAGGTGTACAACATATTTATTCTACATTTATATACCTTACCATGTGATCACAATAAATCTAGTAATCACCTGTTATCTTTATAACATAATACCCTCTAAGTTCAGCCATATTGTCACAAATGTCAGTATTTCATTTTTTATTGCTAAATAATATTCTGTAAATACCACATCTTCTTAATCCATTCATGTATTGATATACACCTAGGTTGCTTCCATATCTTGGCTATCATAAATAATGCTGCAGTAAACATGGGGGTGCATATGTCTTTTCTAGTTAGTTTTTTTTTTCTTTTCCTTGTAAATACCCAGAAGTGGAATTGCTGGGTCATATGATAGTTATATTTTTAATTTTTTGAAGAACTTCCATACTGTTTTCCATACGTGGCTGCACCATTTTACACTCCCACCAACAGTGCACAGGGGTTCCCCTTTCTCCACATTCTGGCCAACACTTGTTATTTGTTGACTTTTTGATAATAGCCATTCTGACAGGTGTGAGGTGGTATGTTATGTGGTTTTGATTTGCATTTCCCTGATGATTAGTGATGTTGAGCATTTTTTCATGTCTGTTGTCCATCTATATGTATGTCTGTTTTGGAGAAATTTCTATTCAGGTCATCTACCTATTTTTTAATTGAATTTATTTTTTGTTTTTTTTATGTTGAGTTGTATGAGTTCTTTATTTGTTTTGGATATTAACCCCCTATCAGATACTAATGTCATTGCAGATATCTTCTCCCATTTGTTAAGCTGTCTTTTCATTTTGTTGATGGTTTCCTTTGCTACTTTTGATGTCATATTTTAGATCTTTTTTCGTGTGTATCCTTAACTGCTTATTGTATGTATATTTCATTATGCTACTTTTGTCTTTTCACCTTTGTATTAGCCATTTAAGTGACTGATTCACTGCTTTTATCATATATTTGCTTTTATGTGTGAGATTTTTTCTTTAATATATAGATTTTATATCTAGCTATGGTCTGTTTTTTCTTTAAGAAGACCATTTAATATATCTTGTAAAGTTGGTTTAGTTGGGATGAAATCCTTTCTTGTTTTGCTTGTCTGGGGAATTCTTTATCCTTCAATTCTGAATGATAACATTTTGGGGTAGAATATTCTGGGTTGTAGGTTCCTTCCTTTCAGCACTTTAAACATATCCTTTTATTCCCTTCTGGCCTGCAAAGTTTCTGCTGAGAATTCTGCTGATAGCCTTATGGGATCATCCCTGTATGTGACTAGTTATTTTCCTCTTGCTGCTTTCAAGACTTTCTATTTTTAACTTTAGCCATTTTAATTACAATGTTTTGGTGTGGGCCTCTTTGTGTTCAACTTGTTGGGAATTCTGTGTGCTTCCTGGACCTGGATATCTGTTTCCTACTCCATATTAACAAAGATTTTCAGCCATTATTTCTTCAAATAAGCTTTCTAAACATTTTTTTTCTCTTCTCTTTCTGGGATCCCTGTAATGAGAATGTTAGTGTGTTTGACATTGTCTCAGAGGTCCCTTAAACTATCCTCTTTTTTTGTTTTTATTTTCACTTTTTCTTTACTAAGTCATTTCTTTAAATATTTCTCTGAAAAGCCTTGTCTCTGGGCTTTCAACTATAATGCACTGTCAGGTCGTAGAATTCTTTTTTCATGTTTACGTAAGGCTTTATAACAGCAATAAAAGATTTGAAATACTCAGAGATAAAGATACATCCACAAAAATAGAACATTTGATACTTAGCATATTACACATACCTGATTATATTCTAGGTATAATCAGTCCAAATTCTATACATCTTAATCACCTATTTATTTTTCACACAGATGCAAAATCGGATGGTGATTTTACTTTGTAACCTAAAACCTGCAAAGATGAGGGGAGTACTATCTCAAGCAATGGTGATGTGTGCTAGTTCACCAGAGAAAGTTGAAATCTTGGCGCCTCCCACTGGGTCTGTTCCTGGAGACAGAATTACTTTTGATGCTTTTCCTGGTAAGTATTGATTAGTCATTATTTTAAATCATTTGGGAATTATTGTTCACAAAGTGATGCTTGTAATGTTTAAGTTTAAAATGAATTCTGTGTGTGATTCGCTATGCTTTACATTAAAACCATTATATTTGAGGTCATTGCTATTGGCTCAGGGTGACATATTAAGCACATACAGCTAACCGTCCCCCTCCCCGTGAATGTACAAATTACATAAAACACCGGAGAGTGTTTTTGCTTTAAAGGTAAAATACTAAATACATTACCTGCTTAGCCGAGGAGTGTGGTATGGATATAAAACAAATTAATGTGCTGCAAAATTATTTAAGCTATAGATTATCGCAGAATGCAACACAAAAATATGAAGAGATGAAAAGTTCAGACATGGGGAAAAGTGTATAATTCTCAAAGTTCATCTAATATACTTACTTATGCTTTAACTTTACTTTAGGATATAGAGAAAATCTCTTAAGTTAAAATTCATACTTACTTTAGTAATCTAAAAGGAAGTGTCATTTCATGTTGCTTTTCTCCAGTAAAATGCTCCTGAGACAGATGAAGCTTTATAATGCATGAAAAAATTGTTTCAAACAGGCCTTTGAAGCAAAAGAGAAAGGATGCTTGGTAGATGTAGAATAAATTTTTCTTTCATTAAAAAGGGAGGACCTCATCAGAGGATAAAAAGGAATGAAAAGACTGCATTTATTTAAAGAACATTCATTTGACTAGAATAATAGGCAAAGCAGAAATAAATTAGGGTAACAAGTAGAATTAGGTTATGATTTCACTCTTATATGGAATCTAATAAAATAAGATAACAAATAAAATAGAAACAGACTTATAGATAGAGAACAGATTGACAGCTGTCAGAGGCGAGGAGGTTTGCAGGGCTGGGTGAAAATAGTGAAGGGATTAAACAAACCCAAAAAAAACACCCAAAACTCTGAGACACAGACAATAGTATGGTAATTACCAGAGGGAAAGTGGGGTCAGGGGAGGTAAAAGAGGGTAAAGGGGGGATAAATGTTGATGGACGGAAACTTAACTTGGGGTGGTGAACACACAATACATTATACAGATGAAGTATTATAGAATTGTACACCTTAACCCTATATAATTTTTTAACCAGTACCACCCCAGTAAACTAAATAAAAGAAGGGAAAAAAAAAGTCCAATTTACCACATCCATACCAAACATTGGTTACTACCAATGTTTTTCAAACTTGGTAATTTTATAGGTGAATAATAATATCTCATTATTTTAATATACCATTCTTTGATTACTAGTGTGATCTCACATCTTTTTTGCTAATGGTTTACAAGAATGCTTTTAAATTAAAAATATGAGCACTGTCATATATTACTACTGCAGTTTAGACTTTAGATTAACTCAGATGCTGTATAATAAATATATTTCAACTTAAAAAAAAACATTGAATTAGATTTATAAGTCAGAATTTATTTGGAGACATATTTGTAGAAAGAGCTGAGTTTTAATGTAATAGCCAGGCTGGTGTTATTATGTAGGCCTGTTTTTTTATCCTATGTCAATTGTGTTTGATGAAATATCAGGATATGAAGAATTTTAACATTGGAATAAGGTAGAAAATGTGTATGAAAGCATAGGTTAATTTCTTTGAAACTAAGCTCCGCCCTTCTAATCAAAAGTAGACTAATCTAAAAAATGCAGGATTGTTTAACAAGTACCCGTGACTTTGAATGCCTCTGTATGTCTTGAACCTTGGTAGATTCAAAACCATAATGTTCTGTGCTTTTTTTGGTAAATTGGGTTTGGGGAAAATCCCAGCCTGAATCATTTCTCAAAGCAGCACAATGACTTTAGATTCTAGCAGCATATTGTCACTATTCTTCTACCACAATATCAAAACATTTAACCAAACCTCATGTTTTGGAGTGTGAGCATGTGTATTCCTGACACCTGAAATTCTATTTATAAGTTTCATTCACTAAGTTGGAATCAAACAACAATAAAGGTGAACTTTTCCTTTAAGATTCAACATGCATTGGAAAAAAACCAAATATTGGTTTACCTTTCCAGATTAACATTTGCCTTCCATATTATTTAAATACTTAAGATGTAGTATATTTTTTTAAGTTTTTGTTTTTAATGTAAATTGTGAAGTCTCATGTTTTAGAAATGGAATAAATCATCTACTTTAACTCTCTATTTTTTAGGTTTGGAAACTGAGGCCTGGCACGCTTTAGTTACTTGTTTAAGGTTATGCAGTTAGTAGAAGGATCAAACAGATGTGCCTGAATCTCTAATACTATAGCATTTTTGTTTGTTGATTGTTGCTTGCTGTGAATTAATATGGACTATTTCATTATTGAAGATTTTTTTTAAATTTTTAAATTTTTTTTTAAATTTCTGTGACATCTTTCATTCCCTTACCCCATAGAATTGATAGGTAAATATTTCAGCAGTTGAGTCAGTTATTATCTGGATGTTTCTGTTGAGTAAATTGCAAATTTTACTCAGTGACAGCATCAGAGACAATAATAGCCTCATGTGGATTTCTTGCCTTTACTATATTCTTCAGTCTCTGAGTTTGGCTTTTTGTGTGTTTATATATACATTGTTCTAAAGTCTGATATTTCTTCTAAATTCATAGTTTCCTCATGTGCTTTTTTGTTAAGAAGGTACAAAAAAGTATTTGTAAAGTGAAAGAAGGGAAAAGCTAACTTTAAAATGGCTCGTGAGGTTGCTTGAATTATTTTCTTATCACTTATAATAGGCTTAACCAAGCCAAACAGCATTGAAGAATTGATAAATTTTGGGACGTGAGATCTGTTATTGTTGATCTTGCTTATGGTTCCACATCAGTTACTGCTTCTGTAGCAGTTAATCTGAAAGGAAATAACAGTTAATACTGCGTAACACACCATTAGTCTTATTTTTTTTCTTTTTTCAGAGAGAGCCATGATTTATCAGTGCTTTTTTTCAGCATCTGTTTTGCATTTTAAAGCTTAAGGTGTCTGCTGGTACATTTTGATGTTCACTTGATGTACTTAGTGTCTAGAGATTTACATTTCATAATATATATGTTGTGTGGTATAGAAATTGCAAGTTGGCCTTGGAAAGGCTCTTATACTTAACAACTTTTTTCTCTAACTATAGAACCGAAAATGTCCATAGAGTTTAGAAGATGACAAGTAGTATTTTTTTAACAATTGCTAAAAATGTTCCCCACTCAATACTTTTAAAAATCCTAAATGTGTGAAGCTATAAATTTTAATATTTAAATGCGATAACTGGTCCCTAAAGCACCAAGCAAAAATAACTTGAGAATAATATTATAGCTAGGAGACAAAGGCAACGACAGCCCTTTTTTGGAAAATGCACTGATTTTACTCTAAAAATAAGTGAAAATATGCATTTAGACTTTAAACTTTCAAGACCATGCTTATTTCTATTGCTATTGAGTCTTATTAATAAATATAAGTTAATGGTTAATTGTAAAGCCTGTATGATATGCAAGGGTGTTTCACTTTTGGATTTATTTATTCTTTAAAGGACAAAAAATCTTGTCTATATTTGATTCTTCTGTCTAAAACCTATTACAATCAGGTTTCTCTCTTCCCTGTTCCACCAGAACTGCTCTGGTCAAGGTCACTAGTTACTCTCTGTAGCTAAATACCCATGACTAGTTCTCAGTCCTTTTTTAAATTTACTTGGCACCTGGCCTCACTCTTTGCTAGTGGTGCTCCTGCGTCACTGGCTGCCCTTCTCATCTCCTCTGCTGATTCTTCCTTAGCTGCATGACTTCTTAACACTGGAGTGCCCCAGACCTTGGTCTTTTACTTCTCTCTTTTTTTCCACACTTGACGTCTTCTCTCTCCCTCCCTCTCCCTCCCGCATTATTCCCTTGGCTATCTTATCCAGTCATTTATCTAGCTGCCTACTAGACTTCACTAACATGTCCGAAGGGAAAATACTTATCCCAGTCTTCCCCCTAGAATTCCCATTTCCCATATCATCTGACCAGAACTCTGTTCTCTCAGCTGCTATTTATTTTCTCATGCAGCTTCTCCTTCAGAAAATAATAGTGGGTGTACCCCCTGAACATATCCAGAATCAGTCTCATCATCTCCACAACCACCGCTTTGGTCTTGGTGCCAGCATCCCTTATCCAGATAACTGCCAAAGCCTTTTGACCCATCGCCCTGCTTTGCCCTTGACCTTTTTCTATTTTCAATTGTAGTGGGCAGAGTGATGGATTTAGGTCAGATTATATTACTCCTTTGCTCAAAAACTTTCATTTGACCCAGAGTCCAAGTCCAAGTCCAAATCCTTATGGTTGCCTTTCATTATCTCCAATTTCTGCCTCAGTCACTTGAATTGAACCATTGGCTGTTTCCTGAGAGAGCTCCATTGCTTGGTCCCTCATCCTGTTCAGATTTTTCAAATGTTGTCTTTGTTTTATTTTCCTCCAAAATACTTGTCATCCTCTAACATACTGTACATTGTTTAATGTCTGTCCGCACAAATATATAAGCTTCATGAAATCAAGATTTTTTTTGTTCTTATTCACTGCTATATTCCTATCATCTAGAAAAATACCTGGCATAGAGTAGGAGCTTGATAAATTGGTTAATGAATAAATAAAAAGAAATGTGCTAGCAAAACATGTTAAAAACAAGCAAACAACAAAACAGTATTTGAGAACAGGCCTGAATATCTGCCTTCATTATTGCAAGATCCTTCCTTTCAAGCCACCATACCACTTTCCCCTGTTGATTAGCTTTGTAAAAGCTAATTTAATTGACCACTACTTTGCCAAGTTATACTTTAGTTTTTGTGCAACAGTTACAATTATTAGAGTTCAAAAGCTTAATCAGACATAAATTAATTAAGTTAGTGCTAGACTTTTAATGGCCATGGTAGAGATATCAAGGAGAAGCTGATGATTCCTGAGCATTTTATGCAAAAGAATGGCCCAATTAAAATGAAGCCTCTGGTTCTTATTCCAGACTAGTGAATGCCTGGGACTCTGGAATGTGTATTTATTGCTTTTTGTAGGTTTTAAATGCTGAGAAGGTGGTCACAGCTTTTTACATCTGTGCAAACTCATCTTGAACTAGTTCCTATTCCCTGTGTGTTTTGTTTAGAATGAGTTGGCCTAAAATAATCTCTGAATGATTAGTTCTCTTACAATATATGTAACCATTTCCAAATGGTGATTATTGGCATGTGTTTAGCAATTTCAGAGGCTCTGTAGTTTTTAGCTTGAAGAATTTTTATTGATATCATCACTTACCTTCTTTGCATAGCCGTGCCAAAAGAGGGGGGTGGGGTGGGGTACGAAAGGAAAGAAAATGAGGAAAATAAGATTTAGGAGGAGGCTGTAACACACAGGAATGATGGGAGACTTATCTGGAAAATACAGGTCATCAAAAAAATTGTTTAGAATATTAGGAATGTTTTCCGTGGGAGGTTATTTAAACTTTCCAACAAGCTTTGTACCCTACCAAATAGTATAATGTTCAAAAACATACTCAGCCAGAAGGTTCACACTGCATCCAAGATTTTCAACTCTGATTTATATTCAGTGATCATAATGTGACAGGTTTTAATAATAATCTCAATTTTTTGTTTCATTTATTGATTTTTTTAAAGTCTAGCAACTACATTCATTGTATTTGGGTATTGAATCTTGTTTGTTAAAAGACAGCAGTTAAGCTTTGGAGGTTCCTCTTATTAGTTTCTAGTTTATTTTTAGTTTAAATCTTTATTCCTTGAAAATTTTTGTTGTCTTATATAAGAAGTTTAAAACTTTCAGATCTTGGCTCCACAAGTGCTCAGTGACTTGGGTACGTTTCTGAGCCCCAGCTTTTTCATCTAAAAGGTTTTGTTGTTGTTTAAGAAGGGGTTTTTAATGCTATCTATTTCATACGTGTTTTGTGAGGTTTAACTTTTGAAATACTTTGCTACCTGCCTGTTTTTTTTAAGTTTTTAGCTGTAACTTTTGTGCCTTAATTTTCTCATCTATAAATTGGGTATAATTAATCATTTTTATATAGTGTACTGAGAGTTAAGTAAGTAAATATATATAAAACAGTGCAGTGACTGCCACATAGTAAGCACTGTGTGTTATGTATTATTATGAATATTATTTTCTGTAATTTCAATATCTTCCTAGATCTGAGAAACTTAATTTTCTGCTGCACCACAGCTTTTTTTACTTAGGGTTTATGTCTGCATTCAGCAAGAATTTACTACACAGTCTGCACTCTTTACAGGAAGCTTCTACACAAATCTGGGACTCTCTGCTTCTTAAATTAATTCATTATCAGTTAGGGAACATCTCTTTTTGAGTGGGGGGAGTTCAGTGTTAGTACTCAGGCCTCCCTGAACAGTATGTGTGCCTCAAGCTTTTCAGAATCCTGGAATGCTCACTTCTCCACATGATTTGTGCACAAACAAAGTAGGATTATGCTCTTAGACTAGGAATGATTTAGAAACAAAAAATAAAAATATTGTAGATACTTTATATATTGACATTTTTCCCCCATTCTGTTTATTAATTAATAATTAATTAATGTCCTAGTGCTCTTAAAGGAGTAAGAGAAACCCTCACTTTTATAGACAGTCTTTCAGTTCTAGTGTCATTGCATGTTCTTCTACTATAAATCCATCATTCTATTAACTCTGTCATCTCTGATAGCCTGCATGTCAGAGGACAGTTTTGTATGTTCTTGCCAGTTTCATGGCATTTTATGAAGAGCTAATAAAAAACAAAGCTACCATGGCCAACCAATTTACTCAGTTTTGTTTTTCCTGTGTATGTATGGACAGAGAATAAACACTAGATAATAAGATGTAGTCAGAACATAGAATATAATTAGTTCCAGTAATGTTTAAAATATTCTTTTTAAAGTAATTCCAAGAGATTTCAATTTGGGAGTCAGTTAAAAAAAGATCTAGAAAGCTATATTTCTATCATTACTGAGTTATACTTCAGTAATATTTTTTATTACCTCCAGGAAAATCATTTTTTATTTGAAGCTAATGCTTAAGAGATACATTCATTACCTTTTTTTTTATAATTGTTTCTTGAACTGAGTCTTTATTCCAAATGTTATTAAATACCGCCAGGTATTAAAATGCTGTTATATTAAACTTTGCTCTCTATTTCCTTATTCATTAAATAGAGGGTTTGCTTGGCATATTGGTTGTCTTTAAGCCTAGACAGACATATTGTATAGCTCATTTGTCTCTTACTGATTGTAAACTTTATAGTGAGTTACTATAAAGAGAGGAGAATGGGGCATTATCCATATGTCAGAATGTTGTTCTTTTTCTAAAGCATAGTTTATTAGGAAGCAGAGTGCTGTACTTTTGGAGCAAGGATTTTGATGTCAAAACCTGACTTCACTTGTTGATTGTGTGACTTTGAACAACTTAACCTTCTCTGAGCCCCAGTTTCTTTTTATTTGAAATTAAAGTCAGTGTTGTGTGAATTGCATGCAACAACATATATTCCTGATTTTTAGAAAATGCTAGTCCTTGTCTCCTTACTACCTCTTTTATGTCTCCATCTCACCAAATGGAAAGGGCAGCAGATGAAACCCAAAGTAGTTATATTTAGCTAGATAATCCCAACAGTTAAGCCATTCTCTAGTTTTTATAAGAAACCTTTAAGCACTATAGCAGCAATCTAGTCATTTTTTTGTATGATGAAACATATAGTAAAGTATACGCTGCTTCTGCCACATGTAAAAATATAACAGAAATTATGCTCACATTGCTTCACAGTTTTTTAAGAATATCTTATATTTTTAAATTTGTGGAATACATTGAGCTACATTACTTGCAAAAATATTTGTTATGAGATTGAAAAATAATATCTTTAATATTTGTAAGGAAGTGACAAAATATATTTTATTAATTAAGAACAATATAAACTGCTAACATCATGAAAATAAAGTAAACGTTAACATTAAATGCTAAAATTCTGATCAGGTCTAAAGATCAGAAAGTACTGCCAAGCCAGTTCACTAGAAATGTCTGTGGACAATTTATTTAATATGTTAGCTACATAATTTTATTTTTTCCCCAACAGGAGAACCTGACAAGGAGTTGAATCCCAAGAAGAAGATTTGGGAGCAGATCCAGCCAGATCTTTACACCAATGATGAGTGTGTGGCTACATACAAAGGAGCTCCCTTTGAGGTGAAAGGGAAGGGAGTGTGTAGGGCTCAAACTATGGCCAAGAGTGCAATAAAATAAAATTAAAATGTTTCAGTTACTGAAATGCATTGGAAAAAACTTTAATAACAATAAAAAGAAATACATATGTCGCTTATGCCTAAAGTATAACTGGCTCATTTTTGTGTTATTTCTCTTCTAGTAGACAGGTCTAGTCTTTTACCTGGTATATATTGTTTTTAATTAATTTGAGAAACACTGTATTTTTACCTATGACTTTTGACCCTTTATAATGTAGGGAGGAAATGCTCTATGTTTTGTGGTGATTTATTTTTTAGCAGGGATGTTGGTTAGCAGATTATTTTTTCTTTATGCATTTTTAGATAGCTTGAACTAGATTAACATTTAGTTTCTTATTTATAGGCACATGATACGTGAACTTTCAAGCCTTTGGATTTTTAGTATATTGTGTATCTGTGTTATAAATGTCCTCTCCTTCAAAAATGACAAGTTAGAATTTGTGTAAGGTTTTCAACTAGTCATATTGTAATATTGAAAATGAACAACTGTCGATAGTAGAGATCCAAACAGCATAAAAGGTAGGAAACATATGAAATTTTCAACTGTCGAACTTTTCTTTCCATTGAGCAAAGTAATTAGTAATAAATTTTGACTGTGAAGCATAAACATGTTGCAAAGTGGTGCCAATGTAGTTTCCAATAATTGACTGTAAAAGCAGCAGTCCATTTTTAACTCTAGCTGACTCTAAAGATTCCTTGGGTACCTAACAAAACATTATTTATAGCTTATTATCTTCAGAAGAGCATTTAAGATTGATATATTTTGCTTTTTCATGAACCACCATACTGTCCATATATTAAAAGAAATGGCAGCCAAAAACAATATAAATTAAGGTGTCAAATGCCTATTTTCACTCACCTTCTAGATATTCTAGGAACCGTGAAAATTAACTTAAGGTTGAATTATTAGCTTCAAGTTCATCAGTCTTGAGATGATGACTGGTGATTTGGGCTGCCAAAAAAGAAATGCATCTATGGAGGTAGGAGTGTATATATATTTGAAAGAAAAGTCTATTCTAGCACTGTAGCTATTTATGCGTCCAGTAAGGAGAAGCAAAAGAAAAAAATTTCAACAACCCTGCATGCTGAGTTATAAAAGGTGTAAGTAAAGTTTATTTATTTAAATCCATGGAGTTCTGGTAGGCCAGGACACAACATCATAATAGAAATGTGATCTTCTTTCTGAAAAACTGAATATTTATTAACAGAGCATCGTTAACATATGTTGATAACTAAACACAAATGAATTTTCAAAGTTATTTTGTACTCCAGATCCATTATTATTTTTGGAATAAAGAATGTGGCAAAGTCTTTTGTGATTCTGTATTTTCTACTTTTCCCTAATTATAACAAATTTATTTAAATCTGATGTAAAAAGGATATTTCAACTGCTTAGTTGAAATATTTATTCCTAATTCTTCAAGTTACATAAAAGCATTACTCAATCAAGTTACCAATTTAGCCCCATTCAGTCATTATTTTTAAAGAAAACTTCTGTTTTATTTGTATTGCTGGGATGAGAGAGCTCTTTATAGAATCAACAACAAGAAATGGCATTGTTGGTGAACTGGGCATAACTCTTCTGGCTTTTAATGGTAGCCAGCTCTTTAAGGATTTTTAACCGTAGGAGATAGTGTCAGGTCAGGCTGACAGTTGGCACCTCTTGACATCTATTTATAAATTGCAAACAAAATGAGATCAAAAACCTAATTTTACTCCAAGATACTTTCTCATTCAGGTTGGCCCACTATCATACATGAATATTAGGAGTACTAACTTTTCTTGTATTTAGAAATTACATGAATATTATTTGAGATGAGTCATTTTCAGGACATTGTTGATTTTAATATAAAAATTGGAAAAAAAATTTCTGCCTTGCTTCTACCAAGAACATTAAGTACTCTACAGTTATAAGAACTTTAAGTGCCCACCAAACAGGTAATTTGTTGTTGCTTTTTAAAGATAATGTAAATTCTGCCCAGCTGATGTGGCGCAGTAGTAGAGCATCAACCCATTGAACCAGGAGATCATGGGCGGGGGAGGGCTGGGTGCATGCAGGAGACAGCTGATCTATGATTCTCTCTCATCATTGATGTTTCCATCTCTCCCTCTCCCTTCCTCTCTCTGAAATCAATTAAAACATTTAAAATAGTGTAAATCCCGTTCAGACTATTTACAAAGTATTCAAAGTAATTCATTGAAGTTTAATAGGAAGCATGTCATAAATTATCAGATAAAAAGTATGGATAGGGCCTCATAGAGCAACATTAATGAGCTTAACCAGGTCCTGGTGCCTGGGCTTTAGTTTTCAGGCCCAAAAATCTGCATTTGTAGATAAGAAATCAGTGGAACCTAGTATTGCTGGTTTTGAGGCCAGATTACCTAGTTTTGATTCCTAGCTTTACAACTTAACTGCCTGTGTGAGTGACCTTGTGCAGTTGTTTAGCCTGTATATACTTCCCTCATCTGTAACATGGGTATAAAAACAATATTTATCTCATAGAGTTTTGAAGATTGTATGAGTTAGTACCCATAGAGCACCAAAAAAAATGCCCATAATATAATAGATGTGTATTATGTTGATAATGAGTTTATGATATGGATGTTCCTTTCCAGAAATGTGTTTCTGAAAACATTTCCTGAGAAGTTGAATTCTTGTTGAGAAGATTACTTGGTGTAAATTAATTGAACAGAGTATGTTAAGAAATATTACATATAGGCTGTAACCCTGTCCTTCAAAAGACACGATGGTTTCTCTACACCAGATGTAATCTCTTCTTTGCTAGAAATATTCATTTCTGAAACTTTCTGCACTCCTACTGAAATTGACTTTTTAGACATTTAGATGCTGACCAGCCCTATTCATTGATGCTCTTTCACTGGTTTAATGTTGATAAAGTCTAAAATAGATCTGTTTAATTTTTTTAGACGAGCAAGACAATATTTTCAACTACTGTGTTAGTTTAACACAAATAGAAGCAATCATATTTTCAAGTTTTGGTGGGTGAGGGAGCACCTCACTATTGATTATAATAGGGGCATTAAAGGAGTATAAGTATACCTCCTCAATTTTCCAGGGAAATTATATGTTGTACCTTTAAAAATGTAAAAATATCAGAAATGCACAATATGAACTGTGTGCTTTAGCTACATAAATTGTAACACAAGTCCTGGTTTTAAGTGCTGTGCAATGGTGAAACAAACTTTATTAGCATGGTACAAAATAAAAGCTAGTGAGGCAAGTCAAAGTAACTCAACTAAATACTTTTGCAAATTGCTTTTTTGTGGAGAGAGCTTTTCCCTTCAAATTTTTAGTTAAGGAATAGCTAACTATGCTCTTTTCTTACAAAAGTTAGGGGGATATATTAATATCTTTCTAGAGTCATGAATTTTATTATATAATTGTTATTAAGCTATTTAATGCTTTATAGCTAACAAGGTACTTTCATAAGCCTTACCAGTTTCTTAACACCAGCCATTTTACCCCAAGAATCAAGGGAAAAGTGAATAAATGCCTGTGCTAAGATAGGACTAGCTGAAACCTAGATCTTCCAGTTCTTACTAATTCTGTGCTCTTCCCCATGACAATACATTTTGTTCCAGGTCAGTTAAATAGTCACGTGATTTCTTTTATATGAATGAGAAGTTAAACTTTTGTTTAAACTTCAGTGAAAGATAGTGATAAATAAAAAAACAAACCTAAGCTCTAGTAATTCATGTAAGGAGATTAGGGTAACTTCTATAGTGGAATAGTTAAGAGATTCTAAGGGAAGTCATGAGATCATTAAGCACTTCTTTGGAAGGCATTACAAAGAGAATTAATCAGATTTTTTTTCCTTTTTTTTCTTTTCTTTAGGATTTCTTAATCCTTCCTGAAGTTCTCAGGAAGAATTACTTGGCAAAACCAGGCTGTTGCTGCTGGCAGCAGTTGCCTCTCTAAACAGCCATGTGCCTTGATTCTTTGAATTGTATACTGTTGTTGAGGGCACTGTTCCTGTAATGACAATTCATTCCAAATGCCTACCTATGAGGGAAGTCACTAGGTTTTAGATGATAGGTGGATGATAGATGATGATAGGTAGGTAGGTAGGTAGGTAGGTAGGTAGGTAGGTAGATAGATGATGATAGATAGATAGATAGATAGATAGATAGATAGATAGATAGATAGATAGATAGATAGATGATAGATAGATAGATAATGATAGATAGGTGATAGAAGATGATAGATAGATGATAGATGATAGATAGATGATGATAGATANGTGATAGATAGAAGATGATAGATAGATGATAGATGATAGATAGATGATGATAGATAGATGATAGATAGATAGATAGATAGATAGATAGATAGATAGATAGATAGATAGATGATAGATAGATAGATGATAGATAGGCAGGCAGGCAGGCAGATGGACGTTTCAACCAGGAAGAATTCTTTACAGTTAATACTTGATTTGCAGTACTAGTTGGAATAACAAACCTGAAATTTGTAATAATAATGAAAAGAAGGGTAGTTGCTGATGGCTAGTATCCTCTATACAAAACTGTATCTTCAGATACCAACTTGGGGAATGGAAAAGTTAGTAACTAACACATTCTTGCTTATTGCACTTTTTACAGTTGCAGTTTTCCTCCAGATAAGTCTTAGCAGAGATAGTTCATAGGAGTATAACTCCAAAAAATTTGGGAGAAAGGACCTAAAACAATGAAATAATTGTTAGTTTGAAAGTGAGCCATCTGGAATTTCAAAGTGTGAATTACTATATGTTGTATTTTTTTACCCGTATATATTCCCTTGTTTTTCCCCCCTTGTGCCTTACTCCCACCCCCCTCCTAACACACACTATTCCCAATTCTCTGGATTTTGAGTAAAATATGTGTGTGTTATTTTATGTCTTCATTAACATTATTTCCTATCTGGCAGGCTGTTACGCTAACAACAGCAGCAGAAACAAGCCAGGGGCTCAATAATTGCAAGAAAAAAGAATAATCCTTTCTAATGAAAGGGCTAACTACTCTCCTTTCCCATTGTTACATGATGCCTATGGAATTGTTCAAATAGCAATTATTAAATCTCATTTCTACCGTGGCATTTATGTGATGACTTTTCCTATCAAGGCTGCTCTAACAAGTTTTACATTTGTTTTTGTAAATTGTTTCATTAGAATATCACATATCCCAGTAGGGAAATGCTCTCAATATATGCATCCACTTAACTTTTCAGCTCTAAGATTACATATTTGGCTGATACGTGTTAATTTAAAACCCACTCAACTTTTCACACCTGGAGAATTTGGAAAGAAGGGTGCATGAATCATTCAGAATCAACACCACAATTTGATTTCTCTTTGAAAAAGATTAATGAAAAATACAAACTAAAAGCCACTTTCAATAAGTTTAGCAAAAGAGTGATTTTGATAGAAATAACTTTTTAATAACCTTCAGTTTTCATATGAAAGGATAGCACTTTCTCTTAAAACTGGACATGCACTGAAGACAAAAACTTCAGATGCTTGTGAAAAGAGACTTATTTTTTATTTTTTTAAATTTTTTAAAAAAATATGTTTTTATTGGTTTCAGAGAGAGGAAGGGAGAGGGAGAGAGAAATATTGATGAGACAGAACCATCTATCGGCTGCCTCTTGCCACCCCCTACTGGGGATTGAGCCCACAACCCGGGCATGTGCCTGGCCAAGAATTGAACTGCGACCTCTTGGTGCATAGGTTGATGCTCAACCGCTGAGCCACACCAGCTGGGCCAGACTTATTTTTAAAATAAAGTTTGAGTGAGAATCTCGGAAATAGCAGTGCCACTATTAACTTTAAATAACACTAGCCTTTTGTAAAAGAATTTTGATATTTCTGAAAATCAATAGAACAGAAAATCTAAGCAAATTCTTTGTTGTTGTTAATCCCCACCCAAGGATATTTTTTCCATTGATTTTTAGAGAAAGAGGGAGGGAGGGAAAAGAGAGAGGTAGAAACATTGATATGAGAGAGACACATAGATTGGTTGCCTCCCTCACCCCACCCCCCTCGAGCATACCTGCAACCCAGGTACATGCCCTTGACCAGGAATTAAACCCACCACCCTTCAGTGCACAGGCTGATGCTCTATTACTGATCTATACCGCCCTGGGCAGCAAATTCTTTATTGAAATAGGGCAGAGTATAGATAAACATAACTAAAAAAAGAAAGTCTGAGATTATTAATTGAGGTAATATATCTAGAAGAATAAACCTGGTAAGGGTCAGACCTGGTAAGTATTGGGAGTGAATTAATAATGCCCTAAGATGATATATACGTAATGAGATTCTAACCCCAGCTCCACAAAAATGTCAAGTGTACTATCTTCCAATTCTCTAAAATATTCAAAACACTTTCAAATATAAAATGTATTTTGTTATTTTAATGTTTTTTCTTTTTTTATTAAATTTATTGGATGACATTGGTTAATAAGAGTATATAGATTTCAAGGATACATTTCTGTGATACTTGATCTGTATATTGCATTGTATACCCACCGCCCAAAGTCACATATAAAATTCAGTAGAGGTTTTTGTCTTTTAGTTAAAAATAGCATACAGATTGGACATCTGGAGGGACATGAGGAAAGATTGCAAATTGTAAACTCTAAAGGCAGGATACCAAAGGTGAACTTTCTGAACATTTATTTTACCTAGAGCTAATTCTGGTCACATGGGTCTATTGTTGCAAATTGTAATTACCTCGAATAATAGTGAGCTTATTCAGTGGATATGCTGTCGTCCAGATAAAGCTGAACAACCCAGCTTCAGGTGGAGCACAGCACAGATGTTCACTTCATTGACTCACCATTCTTATGATTCAACTATTCCATTACCAACTAACAAATTATCTCCCTACATCCACTCTGCTGATTATTTTGAGGAGCTAGGATTGCTATTGCGCAATGGTGCAGTGAAGAGTGTATCTGGAATTTAATGCCTTTTGGATACTATACTAGAATTCAGAGGATATTAGGAAAATACATTAACCAAAAAGATTAAAAAAAAAAATGAGGGGAGGTGAAGAGAAAACTGGACTTTCTAATATTTGTATATTAAGTTAAAAAAGAGAATGATAAACTACCAGGCATGCTCAATGTGAATGGTAAAAGGACTTTTGAAACAGAAGGGGCAATCTGTAAGGGGAAGTCTTGAATTATTTAATTAACTATCTTAGCAAAATCTGGTCATACGGGGAAAGGAAAAGCATTCCAAAGACCTCTTCACTAGGGGGGACGGGATGGAGAAAATGATAGGAAGGAGATAACAGTGTTTTAAGGGTCTCATTTCCATAGTTGAGGGGATGATGCAGTGAGGAATGAAAGTTCTTTGTTAAGGAAATACTAGTCACCTTGTTATCAAACAGTAGTGGAGCAAGGAAATAATCTTTACAGGGTATGAGTTAGAACTTCCAAATTATCAAGAAGAAAAATTAATAGAAACTTTATCAAATCAAAACTGAGAAAAAGAAATGCAAGACCTACAGTAATGTAAAATAAAGGATAAAGTAAGAAGGAGAAACATCCTGTATGCTTGCATGGGGGGATTTAATATCCCAAAGTGTCATTTGTCATGAAAACACGCTGCAAAAGAATTTTTTTAATTAGAAAAAAAGATCTGAAAATATACATATAAATGAATGCTTAAGAGTAACCAGAAAATATTTTCAAAAAATAAAAACAAGGGAACCTTGTTTTTAGACATCAAGCATGATATAAAGTCATTTTAATTAAATTAGTCTGGTATTGACTGTACTATAAATAAAATTGATAATGGAAAAGAATTAAGAATAGTTCCAGAAATAAAGGAGATGTATCTCAATATACCTATTTCAGTGTATCTACTTTTCATAAGTAGGAAAGTGAATTATTTAATAAATAGAGCAAATACAATTGATTACACATCTGAAAGGAAATGAAACTAAAATCCTACCTCATACCATGTACAGAGAAATAAATGACTAGAAGAAAATTTACAAATTTAATTTGGCGAAACATACTATAAACAAAGTTAAAGGATAAATAATAGAATTGGAAAAATTGCATCATGAAGGACAAGGCTATTCCCTGTAATATAGAGCTCTTCCAATTTGCTAGGCAGGAAGTATTGAAGAACAAAATATTCAATGACACTGTAAAAGTTGGTAACCAGATCTGATGGTAATATCGAAAAAGGTATAGGAACCACAATGGGCTTTTACAGTGGGGAGAGAGATTGGGCCCAGCTCTGAATGGGCAAGAGGTGATTTATAGCCAAGTCGCAAGGTGGGATCTGTGGATGGACAGTTACCAAGAGGAAGCGTCAAGGATCAGGGGGAATCTGGCCAAACCGGCCTAACAGGATCTTCCCTGCAGACTGGCCAGGGTGATCAGACATCACCTGGGGGATGAGAGCGAATGAGGAACCCTATCAGAAAAAAAGAAGGTAGAGGATTCTGGTTAAACTGATTTAGCGGGGTTCTTGCTAAAACTAGATTTTACAAAGCACAGATGGGCCTGGAGAAGGTTCAGGAACATATCTTAAGTTTTGGTTAAGCAAAGAATCTTTGTGAGAAGTAATCTAATAGAAAATGACAAAAAATATGAAGAGACAATTCATAGAAGAGCAAATCTAAATGACCAACATACTTATAAAAATATATTCCAATTTAGTAGTAGCCTGCAAAATGCACATTAAGGTAAAAGTAAGATATGACTTTACATTGAACAAACTGTTAGCAATAGATGTGTAAGATGAAAACACCAACTGACGACAAGAATATATGAACTGGGTACTCAAATGTTGAAAATCAAGTTTGTGACAACATTGATGGAGTATGTTAGGCTTCTTTCAGGATTATGTTTGGGCAATTCATTGATATTGTTACATGCAGTTTGTTCATTCCCATTACCACATAACATGTCATTGTGTGCAATGCCACAATTTGCTATCCATGCCACTGTTGATGAACGTTTGGATAATTTCCATAGTGTTTATACCATTATGCACTCTCGCTGACAGGATTCAGGGATTCTCACATCCTTTCTAACAAAGGAGCTCCTGAAACCAGCTTTCTGACATTAAAACCCAATGCTCTTTTCCTTTTATCTAAATTTTATTTAAAGGTAAGAACTTGGTAACTATTTTCTCTTATAAACTCCATGATTTTTTCTAAGATGTTTATTCTTTGTTTATTAAGCAAGTTTCCTTTTTTATACTGGAAAATATATCTGTGCTGAACAGAGTTTAGTAGGGTTAGCAGCGTATCAGAGGCCTCGTGTAGGTATTCAGCTTCGCTGAACCCAGCCTCTTCTAGTTTATCTGCATGGGTGAAAAGAATGGCCGTATAATTCTTCCAAGCATGTCCCAGAAGTTCCTGAAAGAGAAGAGAAGTTAAATGTCTATTTTCCTTGGACTGTCTTTCTCAAAAAGGAACAAAGGAGTTGTTACGGTCCAACCTATGTTGGACAGTCAGCAAATGTCTGTGTATGTCATTATGTTTCTGAAAGCTGATATATGTGATGGGACATGAGATGGGGTCATATAATGTAAGCAAATGGAGAGAGAGGTGTGGGCTTTCTAAAAAAGGCTTTAGGTCTTCATTTTATTTTACTATTATAATTTATGTATACACATCCTCAAAACTGTGTATTATCAGTGCTGCATATGATATACAGCTGTCCCCTCTTATGTGGGGTTTCACTTTCCATAGTTTCAGTTACCCCCAGTCAACCCTGGTCCAAAAAGATCCAGTGGTGTAGACCGTTCCCTTCACTTCATCTCATCATGTAGGCATTGTGTCATGTCACATCATGTTGGGGGCAGAGACGCTGACCATGCTCTGTTAACTGTGATTGTGAAAGGGGGGAGGGCACCTAATAGGAATAGGACCATAGTTGTTTAATGATTATTCACCTTACTAACTTTAGATAAGTTTTCCTACAGACCTTGGGAAACTGGAGCATGTGCTGCAAGAAGAAAAACAGCTGTAAAAAGATGGGGCACCTTGAGGCCTGGATGGTTCCATTGCTCAGAAAAGAAAATGCATTTCGAGAACAAAGGACAGGATGCACTTTAATTTGGTTACTATGCCTGGAGTCTTACACACACGCACACACCGAATTCTGACCATTTTCTCAGGTCCTAGGAACTGGCAGAACTGGGTTTTAACACCATTAAAAATTAACTACAGTGGTACCTCGGTTTTCAAATGTAATCCTTCCAAAAAACCCTTAGAGTTCTGAAACGTTCTAAAACAGAGGCACCACTGTACCTTATCAGACTTCAAGTTCCTGGATGGAGACACACAGTCCCCAGACCCTGCTGCCATCCTGCTGCCCCTCACCCTTTCCCCCTTGCATGGCAGAGCTGATTGTATGTGGACAAATCCCACTGCTCTCCCATTTTGCTGGAAATCATGGAATAAATGCTCACATGTGATTCAACCTTGTCTCTGCTTCATTGGCTGAAGTAGCCAACAGGCAGGCTGGACCCATTGTGTCTGGTTTCCATCACAAGAAGAAGGTCAAGTACAGTACAATATGATATTCTAAGAGAGAGGGACCACATTCACATTAACTTTTATTACAGAATATTGTTATAATTGTTCCATTTTATTATTGTTAACTTCTTACTGTGCCTAACATACAAATTAAACTTTATCATAGATAGGTATGTATGTAAAGGAAAAAAACACAGTATGTATAGGGTTTGGTACTGTAATCTGTGGTTCCAGGCATCCACTGGGGGGCTTGGAACATATCCCTCATGGGTAAGGGAGGACTACTGTATTTACACTTATAACGCTCAGTAATTTATATTTGTCTGTCTACCTAAATCTGTTGGACCCATTGAATTCCTTTAAGTCAAAGTATCTTGGCTAAGGGAATTATTGTATTTTTGTGTGTATGTAGTAATGTTGTGTTATTATTATAGCTACAAGCATTTTCTAAAGATTTATAATTACATAATCTGGTTATATGTAATGGAAAAGCTAAGATTAAAATACATTTGGTGATCTGGAACAACTACAAAATGTTACTGTGATTCTCACCCCCTTCACTTCACATGCCTAGAATCAAACACAATTTATCAGATGATTTCCTCTAATGTGGTTGAAAAACACTGAGGACTGGTGTTCCTTTGTTTAGTAATCTGTGGAAGTTGGTTATGTAATAAATTCTTGTTTGATTAGTGAAAATAAGCAGAAGTAATAGCATGTGGCAAATTGTTCATGCAATATGAAAGGCATCTAGAAATAACTATTGAACTTCTTTGAATATTTCCAGTTATATGAAATCATGACAATATGACAATAAAATAGCATTCCCTCCATTCCAGACACTCCCATTACCAAAATATTTCCAAAGCTGCTATAGTTCATAATAGCCAGAAAAATATAAAATGCTTAGGAATAAAACCAGAACCTCTAATAATCAGAAGAAAAAGGGGAGATTGACTAATAGTCAGTGCCAGATATTATGCTCAGCACTTGACATCTTTATCTCTTTTGAAGCTCAACATAATGCTTTCTTTGTAGGAGATACTTTTATCTCCATCATGACATGGAGCAACTGATGCTTAGAGAACACAAACCCATAGAAAAGTATTAGTACAAGCTCTAGTTTTAAAAAATCTTAAAAAATCGAAAGACAATTTGGGAAACTATTTTCAATGTATATAACAAATATAGAACTAGTATTTATAATATTTAAAAATGAAAATAGTGAAAGAATAAAAAGAGAGGGAGGAAGGGAAGAAGGAAGGAAGTAGGAAGGAAGAATCAGGACATGCAAATTTAATAGGAAAATACAGGAATTATGAGACAATATATTTAAAATTAGAAACATCTTGAGATCATGGTTACTCCCAATACAGCCTGGCTTTTAGCAGAGCTATTTATTTACACATCCATCTCTATTACTTGACTGTGAGCTCTTTGATTTAAATCAAAGCCTCTAGCACATTGTAAACTCTTAATTAATATATTTTGAATTAATCTGGAATTTGGACCCTCACCATCATCTCAAATAGAAGGTTTAGAGTTTTATTTTGGGGGAGTTTTGTTTTTGTTTTATTTTTGTCTATACTTTTGAAGCTTAATCTTTGGTACACAAAATTACACTTTCCTGTAAAACCTCTCTTGTTCTGTAGTTCATTATCATGGATTTGCCTATAGTCTGCACTTTCTATTTGTTACTCAGAGGGACTTTCTCAGGGAATAGGTCCAAAATTTTTCCTCATATCTGTGCAAAATTTGTCTGTCTTCACCATAGAATAATTGTTTACTTCTAGTTTAAAAATGACCTGCTTTCAAGAAAATCTGAAGTTTCACGATCAGTACAAGAAAATAATTATTTTAACAGAAAGATTCTGAACTTTACACAAGAATTTTTCAAAGAGATACTTTAATTGAAATATTCTTATGTGCTTTTAAAGACATAAATTAGCAACACTTTAACCTAACTTTTAAAGAACATAGCTCTTGTGTAAATCTAAGTATGTATGCACTGCCACATTTTAGCTAACAATGACATGACAAAATTAACAGATCTCTTCAGAGTTTGTCATATATTCAGTATATTGTATCATATCTCCCATGGGAGAAGAGTCATAGCTGCAAAATAAATAAAAGGTGATGTTATGGGTTGAACTGTACCTCTTATGTTGAAGTTCTAACCTCCAGTATCTCAGAATGTGACTATTTGGAGGTAGGGTTATTGCAGATGTAAATTAGTTAAGATATGGTTGGAGAGTGGGCCTCTTCTCCATTTTGATTGGTGTCCTTATAAACCAGAGAAATTTGGGCAAAGACACGAATACAGGGAGAACGCCATGTGAACATAAAGATGGTGATCCATAAGCCAAGGAGAGAATCCTTGGACAGGTCTTTTACTCACAGCCCTTAGAAAGAGCTAACCCTGCTAATATCTATTTCAGATTCCCAGCCTCCAGAACTGAGAGACACATTTCTGTGGCTTAAGCCACTCAGTTAGTGCTACTTTGTTATGGCAGCCCTGGCAGATTAATACAAGTAGTTGAAAAAAATTAATGAAATGCTAAATATATGAGGTCTAGATTCTAGGAATAAAAAGATTTCTGGGTCATTTACATGAGAACCACTTTTGGTGATTGCTGAAAATGCATCAGAATCTTTAGGTTTGAAACCTGGAAATGTGAACTTTTAAAAGCACTCGAGGTGATTTATTCCTTCTGCAAATATTTATTGAGGGCCTACTTTGTTCCAGAGACACAGAACAAGACAGACGCATGTCCTGCTTCTAAGTAGTGGAGATTCTTGTGTATTAACTAAACTTAGAGCTGAGGAAGTGAGGCAGACAGGGGGAAAAATACAGTTAATTTTAATTTCAAGTGTTGTAATAGAAAATATATTGGTGCTATAGGGGCAGACATTTAGCCTAGTTTGGGGTGGGGATGGAAAGGGGAAGTAAAGGACAGGATGAGAAAAGCTTCTGATATGTGATGATGCCTTGAGCACAGGAATTAATGTGGGAGTTACCAGGCAGTAAAGACATACCAAGTAAAGAGAGGGACTGAGCATTATTGGGGATTATAAAGTATTGGGATTTTATTTCTATACAAATACAACTATTGATCCTTCATCGTTCTTGTCTCTGGAAGTTTCTCAAACTTAGAGCTATATGTGATATTCACTCAGTACATTGTAAATGTGTTTATACTGGTTGTCATAATATTGAAATGTGAAATACAAGTTAGTAAATAGCTACTGCCCTTAACCCCTTGATCCACTACCCCAAGACCCACCCCTCAATATTGGTTGATGTATAGGCCATATTTGTCATTAAGTATTTTAAAAACATCATTATATTAAAAACTTGTACAGTCCTGGCCGGTGTGGCTCAGTTGGTTGGGCATCAGCCCATGCACCAGAAGGTTGCCAGTTCAATTCCTGATAAGGGGCATGCAGCAGGCAACTGATAGTAACGCATTCCCTATTTATCTCAAACATATACTTTAAAGCATATTATGATTCAGGAAAAATGAACAAAGGCACCTAAGGAAAATAGAATTGTGAGTTCATTATCACTTAGGAGTCCATATGCTCAGCCACTGAGAAGTTTTTACATGTAGATAATTATTTACGAAAAGATATTCATATCCTGAACTGTGAGAGAAATTGTACTTTTGAATAACTGCCAAAAATAGAAGAGAATGGTTGATTTAGCTTATAATTTTTAGATTGATTTTTGGCCGGAAAATAGTTGAAAAATATTTGAAAGTAGTGTCGCTTGGTGTATAGTCATCATGTCAGTGGCCAAGCGTGCTCTCTGTGGACCCAGGGGAAGAATAATCACGGTTGACTGATACCTCACATGAAAATCCAAGAGCAAGATAAGTTAATGTAAGTTATCTGGTGTTAATAATTTAAATATAGTACTAAGCTAGATGGAAAATTTGCCATCAATCATGAATTTGTTTGGTTTCAGAGTGCTAATGGGTGTGAGAGTCCATCTAGTCCTTTTGGGACAACTAGTTAGGATGTAGACTTCATTTTCCCAGGACCTCACCAGCCCTGCCCCATTTGTTTGTGGTTGATGAAATCATAGCATCTGGACATTTTAGGGGGAAACTTTTAAAAAAGCCAAGTATTACATCAACTGAGAAAAAAAATTATCATGAACAAGGAGGGCAATAAGAACCCTTCTTTATATATTATGCTATTCCCTTACTCTCATTCCACTTAAAGCACTACATTTTCCTTTTCAGAGAGCCAAGGCTGAATGATAAGACCTCGTTAGGTTGGATCAGAGGATTTTCAACTTTAGAGATCATCTGTCCAAATTGCCTTATTTTACAGATGATGATATTGAGGCTGCGATGTTAATGGCTTGGCCACAGCAACATAGCTGATTGTTGGCAGGCCTGGGCCTGTAACAGAGGTCTCTGGACTGCCAGGCCCATGTCCTTCCCACTAAACTGGGGCTTCTCAGTTTATCCTTAATAAGCCGGTGAATTTTCTTCTCATATTTTTTTCTAAATTAATAAGAAAGTTCTTATAGTTATAAATCAGGGCTATGTAAGTTTGATTTCACTCTTACTTTCTTTTGAAACCTAGCAAGATAATCCCAAAATAAGGCTACAAATTATATGTCCTAATTTTAGAATAAGACAAATTCCTACAGTAAAATCATAATGACTGTAGCCAATGTCGATTGTATATTTGCCATGTGCCGGTGCCTGAGTTAATTTGCTATTGTGTGGATATGACATTATCCCCAAAGTAATGCAGTAAAGTGAACACTATTATCTTTCCCAATTTATCAATGAAGAGATTGAAGGTTAGGGAAGTTGTACGTGCCCAGGGTCACAAAGCAAGTAAATAACTGAGTAAGAACTTGAACACAGCTATAACTTATTCCAGAACCCATGCTCTTAACCTCTAGAATGTGTTACTCATATCTAGTAGATTATTTGAATGGCACCCATCACAATCTGAATAGTGATGATGACAATAAAAACAATGACAATAATAGTAAAGTTCTGTGAACGTACTCTAAGGCACAATGCCAAGCACATCCCATTTATTAAACATAACCCACAGGTAAAATCATCTCCATTTTATAAGTGAGGAACTGAAGCCAAGAAAGTCTTAGTAACATTAGAGTCATATACCCAGAATTATAACAAGGCTTATTTTTCAACTAAATTCTATCAAAAAGCCAAGCAGATGATCTTTATTTAGTATTTTCAAGCCTTGCGTTGGCCTTTCTCAGCCTTTTGTATACATATCCACCTATAACATCAGTAGTCATGTTCATTCTAAATAAAAAATAAGTGTGTAAAGCCTGATTGTATACAGTAATAATAGCATGATAGTGGAAAGAATGTACTTGTAGTCAATTCATGCATCCAGTTCTTAGTGTTTGGCTACATGCTAGCACTTTCCTGATCCATTATTTGTGGATTTATTTATTTATTTATTTTTATTTTTTAAAATATATATCTTTATTGATTTCAGAGAGAGGAAAGGAGAGGGAGAGAGAGAGAGAAACATCAACGATGAGAGAGTCATTGATCGAGCCCACAACCCGGGCATGTGTCCTGACTGGGAATCGAACCCGGATCGCCTAGATCCTAGGTCGACGCTCAACCGCTGAGCCACTCCCAGCCAGACTGTGGATTTTTTTAAACATTCAAATAATATTCAGATACTATTAAAAAGAATCACTCCTTTTATTTCCCAATTTTGGGGAGATGACTCGCTGGCATCGCTACAGTTTTACTGTAAATTAGGAAAGGCCTAACAAAAATTAAGCAAAAGGGACCATTTATGGAAATGTCTCAGTTGTCACAGCTGGAAGCCTCTAATGCATCTGTAAAATATTGCAGCACAGATTGAGAGAGACATTTAAAGAGACAACAGGGAGTTCCAGGAAAGGAAGGGGCACTTCTCTGGCATTGGCCTTACAGACTCCTCCCAGGGCGGGAAGCAGTGCCCTCAGAAACGGGGAAAGGAAAATGGTGAAGGCAGATGTTCTGCTCCCCATTTTGCATCGGTCTGGGGGGGAGAAGCCAGGGTGTGTCTGCAACAAGAGGACCTTCACAACTCCCTGCCCCTTCCTAACAGCTGCTGGGCCTGTTGCAGATTCAGACATTCTGCAGCTGCTCCCAATGTGTGAGCACTTCCAGATGGCTGCCACCAGTATCAGGGAGAGGGTCATAGCAGCCAGCCTGTGCTCAGGTGACCTTCCACAGAAGATAATGCTGGAAGCCCAAAGTAGGACTGCGGTCCTCCCAGGGGTTGTGGGCCCCTCGGGATTACCAAGTCTCCACTGCTGAGTTCTCCTGGGAGAGAACTTATTTATTCTGGGAAAAATTATTATGGATCCAAGTTTGGCCCTAGCCCATCTCTTCTCTGCCTTCAACTCCTGAATTGGACACTAACTTATGGAAAACAGCCATATGAGAAGGCTGTATGCCAGGTACCATTTAAAAAGATCAGAGACATGTGTGAATCAACTTACTTCTATAAAAATTTAGGGGATTGTAACATTGTTCCATATCCTAAAACTGGAAAAAAAATCTACTTTCAAAATGTATGTCTTCTAAATACCCTTTTTAGTTCAGAATAGGACCAGCATAGAGAAAAATTTGGAGACATATTAAGAGAGTCAGGTTAGTTTTGAGAAATAATTTGTTTATGTGTTTACTGAATTTACTGAATTACATCCATCTATAGCTTAAGCTAAATGTTTATTTAACAGCAGCTTTTAATGAACGTTAAAAACTGCTATAAAATTACACTGATGGGAAGCCGCAGGTTTTCTCCATTTGATTTCTCCCCAGAAATGGTGTTTTCAGTGTGGGCATTTGATTTCTCCCCAGAAATGGTGTTTTCAGTGTGGGCTTTATTAGTTTGGGAGAGGTTGATGGGCTTCCTTAGAGGCCACTTTGTTTCTTAATTGCAATCATCATCTGTTACTCTTTGGTTTTGTACAGCATGCCCTTGATTTTTCAGGAGTTGAATGATGAGGATCTTTTTCTTATACTCTAGTCACCCTAATGTTTTCCTCTTGTATCTTGTGATTGCACATATGGACTTTTTTTTTTTTTTTTTAGAAACATGCTCAGTTACTGAAAAATAAAATGTGTGTCTGCCATTTAAAACTATCTTATGCCTTTACTAGTTAAAGAAGAAGTCTTTCTTTAAAGCAAAGTGTACTATCTTTCTAAGTGTAACAGATCCTATCAGCATGATCAGAGCTGGACCAAAAGGAAAGTAGTGTTTATACAAATTTTCCCTGAATGAAAAATGCCTGCTCTCTATTCTCCATGGACGTAACAAAGCTACCAAGTAATATTAGTGAAGTCCAGCAGTTAAATTCGGGTGGCCCCAGATCAGAGAAACAAGAAATGGGATAGAATGGAGCAGCCCAATGAGCAGTTTCCAGGGGCCTTGCTGATATATGTACGTATACTGTACGCAGGAATTGCTCCCTCCAGCTCCTGGGTGTAACTATACCCAGGACCTCTCCCCTCCCCCAGACTGGCGGAATGAGCCTTCAACTTAGCGGCTTAAATAAATGAACGAACAACAGGGATGGACCACAGGACAAAGGTGGCATGTGTCATTTATGGTCGAGGTCCCCGTGGTCTTCTCACGGCTGGAACGGAACAGTTTCTGACTGGCCCTACAGATTATGAGGCAAGCAAAACATCTGCGATTCATGGTTTCTGTCCCACAGATGGAACATAGATCTCTCCTGAATGTTCACCTCCACGGAAGTCTCAGTGGAGTCTCCTTTCGCCCTAGTCGTACGTTACACTACTTTGGCCCTTGATGCATTGTCTTATACTTGTTTGTCTACTTGTCTCTGCCAGACCCTAAGCTTTTTGATGGCCAGGCTCATATATTATTCACCCATCACTGAGCTCTGAGCAGGTACTCGGTACTGTTCAATGACTGAGTGAGTGAATGAACATCCACTTGTTGGTCAACTAGAAGAGATAGTCTCCTTGATGTTAGATGGATATCACTCAGTATTTTAGCTCAGTGATTCTGAAACTTAACTGTAAGAAATATATGGAAAGTTCATGCAAGTGCAGATATGCAGGCTCCACTTTTGAGATTCTGTTTCAGTGGGGCTTGGATGAATCTGCACTTTCAACAAGGATCCCAGTTGATTCGGGCACAGATAATCTGAGGGCCACATTTACAAACTTATTCAGGTTTACAGTTTTTACGGGTTTGAGACTTAGTTAACCTCTAAATTTTAATATCTCATTTTTTAAATGACCCTGTTGTCAAATGACTGACTAAATTCCTCTAAAGAGAATTGTAAAAATGACTCAGTGGGAAAATCAAAGCATTTTTACTGACTCGCTCTATGTGACCAGCACTTGTTTTAAATGACTTGTTTGAAACTTGCTTTAAATTACTCTTTTAACCAGTTTTTCTAGCTCTTTTCTGTTAGGATAACGTCCTCCAAGTGGAAACAGTGACACTAGTGTAACTGCCTCTCTGTATTACCTGGATCATCTGGACCGGGGGAGATGCCTCTTGTCCGCAGAGGGGCGTGTCTGCTCTCTGGACCAGCAGTGCAAGATGGAGACCCTCTTGCCCAAAGTGATGTTCCAGGGCCTCTTTGATCTCCTGCTTCACATGCTCCTTGCTCAGCCTGCTGTGAGGATAACCTGGAGTGTCCAACACCCGGACCTGCAGGGTTATCTCTTGCCCCCCTCGACGCATGAAGCCATGGAGGTGACAACTGCGACCCAGACTACAATCTTTGGTCACAGAACATGGAGCAAAGCTGCTGTGGAAGTCAGTGCTTCCCAGAAGAATGTTTCCAGCAGAACTCTTTCCACTCTGGGTCATGCCAAAGAGGGCCAAGTTGATGGTCATCTCTTTGGAGTCCGTCATGGCTGTGAGTAAACAAGAGCTCAGCGTGAGCAGGTAGGCTTCTAGGCTCACCCCATGCAAAGCTTCTTCCCTGGCCTGGAGCACTCCAGCTATTACCTTCAATTTGCTCTCCCCTCAATTCATAGTGATGAAAGCCTGCAGGGGGGATTCACCAAAGTGGAACATCCCAGTGAGGAGGGAAGATTGAAATAATGTCAGTAGTTTGCAATGGGAGAGAGAGAGGAGTCACATACAGACAGGGAAGGGAGGAGGGAGCAAGAATGACAGGACTATGAGAAACACCCACCAAGCGCATACCCGTGATGGAAACCATATTAGCTCGTCAGTGTGGTAGGTACGTTGGTTTAGGAATGGGTGCTAACCTTCCTAAGTTCAAAGCTAGCAGCAGTACTTGAAAATTATTCACTCTTGGAGAAGCAGAAACAAAAGAGTGGAAGAAATAGCCCCCTTTGCATTTAAACAATGTCCCCCACCTTCCCACCTCCCACCTTCCCACTGCTTGAATACGCAAGCGGCATCTGCAAAAATCGTCTTTCCTGGCCTCCTGAATGCTTCTCTCTTATGAAACATGAATAATGTTAAAGAAGACTTCTGTTTCTGTTCTAACACAAACACCTTGAAGGAACCTCACACCCCTATACAAAAAAAGTCATTTCTGGGACCCCCTCAAAGTGACCCCAGCTCACCCAGCTCATTCAGCAGTGTTGGCTGTAGTTTAATCACTCTAATTTTTTTTTACTAATGAATCCGATGCGTGATTTAAAAAAAAGAAGACTTTTTTTTTTTTTTTTTTCCCCCCCAACCAGGCAACATTCTGATGAAAATGAGAACCACTTGTAATTTCTATTAGGAAATAATTAATGAATCATTTCCATAGCTCTCCACGGTAAAGTATTGACTCCTTAATATAGAAAGTAAAGTCCAGCGCATTGTGCAGCTCAGTTAGGAGGGAGGAGAACCTTGGGAGACTCTACTCCATTTACAACATCCCTAAGTTGTAGTTTAATTTTACGCAGAACAGAAGCCCCCCGATAGCATTATAAAGTCATCTTTCATTTTCATTAGATCAATGAGGCAGCGCCACTGGCCAAGTACTAAGGCTGCTCGACTACTGATTCAGAAATAAGGACATTTCATATTGCATATTTATTATTTTTGTTTATGACTTACATTTCTGTTATATGGTTTCTATGTCCTCTATATACCCCTCACCCCAGTCTACCCAGACCCTAACACGAACACCTTGAAGGAACCTCACACCCCTATACAAAAAAAGTCATTTCTAGGGCCCCACAAAGTGACCCCAGCTCACCCAGCTCATTCAGCAGTGTTGACTGCAATTTAATCACTCTAATTTTTTTTACTACTGAATCTGATGCATGATTTAAAAAAAAATTAATTAAGGAATCCCAATCCTCTTGCTGTATGTCACCCACTCCCACATACCTTTTCCAATGTTGAAAATGCTTTTTCCACAAAAACTTCCCTCGAGCTGGTACAGGTGTTCTTCAGTATGAACTTTAGCCTTTTGACATCATTATTGTGCCACTCTGGGACTGATACTATATTTATTTTATTTAGTTAATCTGTTACCAGTATCCTCTCTATAAATGATTAATTGTGTCTCTCTAATCAGCACTGACTCTTTCATGTACCTGACAGACCTGTAATTTCAGCAGGTACTTCCTGAAACTTCTGCAGCCAGGATTGAATTCTTTGTTTTAGGACATTGCTAATATAAATAACTTACCTATAGCCTAAAGTACTGCAATATTGCTACGTGTTAAACAGAACTAGACATTCAAAAGCAATGGTTGTGTTTTTTCCTATTGTGATTGATGAATAATAATACTTTATGAAAATTTCAACAATTTGACATGTAATATATGTGAAATAAATAGATATTGACTTCATAACACTGTCAAGTTCATAAATTCAAAAATTCTTTAAGAAAACTCTCTTGGCTATTTCCATATAATGAACATTTATTATTTTATCCTAATTGATGCAATCACTAGAATAATTATATCAGCACATGCATTTTTCATACCAATTAATGATATTCAATAAGTACAATTTACTATAATTTGAAGGCAAAATTTTTTTATTAAAATGGGGGTTTTATTTTGTTATTGAAAGCTTAAATTTGATTTTTCCACTTAGTAGATAACCCATACTTTTCCAAAATACTTTCTTGTGTGTAAGATGTAAAAACCTTCATATGATTATATTCTGGTTCATCTCCTGAACCCCTCAAACAGTCTGTGAAATATATATTTTCTGTGGAGGAATCACGGAGACATCTGGAATGCCTTATAATTTCATGGGCACAAAGTTAAAGTCTTTTTCCTGTGTGACTATGACAAGGAAAACGCGAGCTGGATTCATTCATCTGACAAGCACATTTGGTTTCTTGAATGAAGCAGAAAGAACCTCCCCCAGGTGGCAGTAGCAGCCTGTTTCCTAAGAATTTATTTTCACTTTCTTGCTGAAACCCCAAACTGGCATTCTTCAGCCAGGCAATCTACATCAACACATAACAAGGCCTTTTGAATAAAGGCAAAATGAAGCCTTCTTTCCTACGTTCCTTATAAAAAGTGGCACATGTACAAGATTCTTAGTTTTTAAACCTTCCACTTCGAAAACATAGTTTGAATCATTTGCTAAATGCAACATTTGACTGTTTAAAAAATAATATTCAGAGTTCAGATGTGTGGTCAAAACTCCAATGAGTCTGTAAAATTTTAAGATAATTTTCAAGAGGTTTAAGGGAGATTTCATATTTGAATCAACTCAGAGGTCATATAGAAGAGTAATGCATTAATATTAGGTGATGAGAAAGGATTGGTGTTAATTATTTTTGAATTAGGGTGAAAAACAACTTGAAAAATCACCTCACTCTTTTCAGTAACTTGGCTGAATATAATGTAGCAGGGATAAAACTGTATCATTTTAACAGCTGGCTCCAGGATTTCTCTGAGAAGGGGAACCACCTATGTTTGAGGATAGTTTGATCAGCTGTTTAAGGTAGAATGGGGCCCTGAAAACATGAGCCAAGCTCATGTAAAGGGATGGCCAAACTGTTGGGGATGGGGGAAGGGTCAAGAAAGGGGTAGTAAAGGTCACCTTAGTGTGAAAGTGAATTTTAATTTTTGTTTTGTTTTTAAATATTGTGAGCATTTTACTTTTATTTTATTTTATTATTTTATTTTTTATTTTATTATTTTATTTTATTTTATTTTATTTTATTTTATTTTATTTTATTTTATTTTATTTTATTTTTGACAGAAATTAATGGGAAGGCCTGAGGTCCACTCTAGGTTAGCACAGGACAGGGACTACAAAAGGTGGAGGTTATGAAAGGGCTTCTGAACTGAAATAATTCAGAACAGGCAGGAGGTTGAAGCTAGAAGGACACTAGTCCCTAGGAACTTGCAAGAATCTTTGGGAGGACATTAGACTTCATAATACATGAAATGGGATATTATGTGTTAAGGTGACTCTAGGTGACATTAGTAAAAACTGTACCTCAAATTATGTGCTCGCACGCGCGCGCACACACACACACACACACACACACACACACACTATATTAGGTTGCTAGGAGCCATAACAGAGTATCATAGACTGAAAGGCTCAAACAACAGAAATTAATTTTCTTAGAGTTCTGGAGGCTAGAAGTCTGAAATCAGATGGAAGTGGATTGGTTTCTCCTGAGGCCTTTCTCCTTGGCTTGTCAATGGCCATCTTCTGTCTATGTCCTCACGTAGTCTTCACTCTGTATGTCTGAGTCCACATTTCCTTTTCTTACAAAGACGCCAGTCATATTGGATTAGGGCCCACCCTAATGACCTAATCATCTTAATTAACTTCATTACCTCTTTAAAGGCCCTATCTCCCAATACAGTCACATTCTGAGGTACTGGGGAGCTAGAGCTTCAACATATGAATTATGGAGAGATACATTTCAGTCCATAAAACATATATTCTGTGTGTGTGTATAAAATTATATAAATTATATGTCACAATACTCATTAAAATTCTTACTCTATACTTCATAATATTGAGTTTTAGTATAAATAGTTCTTGATTTATAGCAAGTTTTTAATGTTTTTATTGATTTCAGAGAGAGAAAGGAGAGGGGGAGAGAGGTAGAAATATCAGTGTTGAGAGAGAATCATTGAATGGCTGCCTCCTGCAGGCTGGAACCCAGGAACGTGCCCTGACAGGGGATCTAACCACGGCTTCCTGGTTCATAGGCCGACTCTCAACCACTGAGCCACACCAACGGGGCACTAACTTATAGCAATTTGATTTAAAGATACTCTTGACCAGCCAGGCGTGGCTCAGTGGTTGAGCGTCAGCCTCAGATCCAAGAGATCTCGGTTCAATTCCCTGTCAGGGCACATGCCCGGGTTGCAGGCCTGATCCCCAGCTGGGGGCATGAGGGAGGCAGCCGATCAATGACTCTCTCATCATTGATGTTTCTCTCTCTCAAATCAATAAAGATATATTTTTTAAAAAAAGATACTCTCATGGTTTTAGACAAATTCCAATTTGCATTGGCTTGAGCTGTGAACCCCTTGCTCATGTGTTATCTTTTCATATAATAAAGAAGCCACTTAGAGTAAGACACGGAATCTTTACTTATGATGTCTAAATGACCTTAACCTTCGCCAACACTGCTCCAAGTCAAGGGGAACACTAATAAGCAGGTTAAAGTTGGTGGTGATTTGATTGATTCAGTTTGAGGTGGTCTTAGAGTAAGACATCAGATCTCACCTTTCAAAAAATTTTAGAGAACAGTGGTCAGCAGATTAAACTTAGGGAACAGATGGTCCTAATTTGAACATAGTATAAAAGTTCCTGGAACAATGAAGAATGCCCATGTCTGGGCAGAAATATTGATGGGAATAGTAGGCTTGAATCCAGACTTGGTTGGTTTATATTTTAAAGACTCTACCCCTCCCATCCCCACACAGGAACACTTATGTTTTTTGTTGATG